GAAAAAAAATTTTTTTTATCTCTCTTACTCAACCACTACGTCAAGCCCGCACCTCATGGGAGAAAAAGCCTTTTTCTTGGGCCCCCTTCCTGGCCGGGGGCCCCCTTTGCTTGCGCCCCCGCCCTTGGGAAAGCCCCTGGTTTTCCCCCCCCCCTTTGCCCCCCCCCCCTCCCTGCTTCCCGCCCCCGCCTGCCCTCGCCGGGACCCGCCCCCCCGCCGGGCAGCACAGGCGCTCGCAGCCTTCACCTCGGACTCAGAGCACGTCATCGGCGCGGCGGCGGCCGCCGAGCAGAAGCTCTACATCTGGGACGGAGACCGCCAGCTTGCAAAGATGCTGGACGGGCCAAAGGAGTGGCGCCTCCCCCTCCCCCCTCCCCCTCCCGCCCCTCGCCCCTTCCCTCCCTCGACGCGCTCGTGAGGTGCCTCGGCGCGGTCTCGCCGGCCCCCGCACCCCCGCACCCCTTCACCCGCCACTCCCCCCCCTCCCTCGTCGCCCCCCTGCGCCCTGCGCAGGACCCGATTGTCTACTATTAATTAATCATTTTAATTATTAATTATTAATTAATAATTAATAATCCCTGCGCAGGACCCGATTGTCTACTTCGCGTACCACCCGACGCGGCCGATCCTCGCCTGCTGCGCTAAGTCGGGCGACATCTTCGTCTGGACGAAGCAGTACTGCGAGAACTGGTCCGCCTTCGCGCCCGACTTCAAGGAGCTCGAGGAGAACGAGGAGTACGAGGCGCGCGAGGCGGCGGGGACGCCACCGCCGCAGCGGGACGCGTCTCTTCACGGGCGCAGCCGCGAGTAGGAGCGCGAGGACGAGTTTGACCAGCAGCCGGCGCAGGTCGAGGCCAAGGCGGAGGACGAGGCGGAGCACATCGACATTGTCACCCTCGAGCCCTCCGAGCTGGCGCACTTTCCGGACGCGGACGACCCGGACATCGAGCTCGAGTGCCTCCCCATCCGCCCGCTCGCCGACGACGACGAGTCCGCCGAGGGCGGCGCCGGGATCGGGGAGGCGGACGCCGAGCGAAAGGCGCCGCTCGGCCGGAAGCGGAAGGTGTGACGTGGAGTCGCTCCTTGCTAATGGAGCTCAATGAGCAGTGAGGAAAACACACACAGATCACTCCGCGCGTGTGTGGGGGTCTGCGTCGTACGTAAGCTACTGGGTCGGTCGTCGGAGTATATAGCTAGGTGGGTCACAGGTTTTGAGTGGTGTGTAAAAGAGGGGGCAGGGGGGCCACAGGGGGCGCCCACAAGCACAACGATAAAAGTCCTAAGTCGCGGCGCCGGGGGGTAGGCCGTCCATATCGGGAAATCGCGCCGCGCAATACACGCACCAGTGTCGCATCTAGGCTCTAGCCAGTCTTCCCCCACAAACAGTGAGGAAGATGGGGAAGTGGGGAGGTGTGTGTCTGTGTGGTGTGCGGGGGTGTTTGGACGCGCATATGTAATTCTCGGTAATCGAGAGAGAGAGAACAGAGCACACGCCTCACGCGACCCCGCGACCCGCGCCTGCCCAGCTGTCACACTGCAGCGCGGTCGAGCAGCTTGCCTCGGTAGATGGCCCGGTTGCGCACGCCTAGCGCCAGTGCGCCCGCAGTGCCCGCCGCACACGCGCCGAGGATGGCCAGGTGGGTGGCGCGATAGCAGAGGGAGCCGTGGCACTCGGCGGCGGCGCCGGGCGTCGTGACGTGAGCGTGCGCGGCGTACACTTTGGTGGCGAGGAGGGTGGAGAGGAGGAGGGAGGAGGAGGAGGCGGCGAGCGAGAAGAGGTTGTACACCGTCGCAAAGTGGCGGGCCGGGAAGATGTCGCCCACGATCGACGGCAGGAGCGACCACACCGCGCCGTAGGCGGCGCCACCGGCGGCGGCGCCGAGGTAGAGCAGCGGCGGCGACGCGGCGCCGAGCAGCGCCGCGTGCGCCGCGCCCATCAGGCAAGTGGCCGCGGCGAGCAAGTGCGGCCGCGGCACGCGCCTGCGCGAGAGTGCGTCGGAGCAGGCGCCAGCGGCCATCCGGCCGATGCAGTTGCAGGCGGAGAGGAGCGAGACGAGGATGGGGGACGCCTGGGATGAAGCCTGCGCGGGCGCGGCGGCAGTGACGATCTTGCCGATGTGGTTGAGCAAGACGATGCCGCCGCCCCAGCCGGCAAAGGCCGCGACGAAGAGGAGGCCGAAATCGACGCTCGCCACCGACGCCCAGACGCCGCTCCCTGGCTGTTGCCCGTCCGGAGGCGGCGAGAGCTGCAGCGGCGGCCCCTGCGGCGCGTGCTGCGCGTGCTGCGTGGGGCCCGCCCCGCTCTCGCGTCGAGCGGCGGCGGCGTCGGCCTCCTCGAGCAGCCCCACCCGGCCGGCCACCGAGGACGAGCCGACGGAGGGCGAGCCGGCGGCTGCGGCGGCGCCCCACGCGAGGCTGGGCAGGGCGAGGAGGGAGGCGGCGACGAGGCCGAGGGCGCCGAGCGAGAAGGCGCGGCTTGCGGCGAGCGGCGAGAAGGCGCGCAGCAGGCTGATGGCCACCATCGCGACGGCGAGGGCGCCGACGAGGGCGTAGCCGCGCGCAAAGCGGCGCGAGGGCGAGTCGGCGTCGAGCGGGCGCGGCGGGGCGAGGCGGCGGACCAGCGGCGCGAGTGCGAGTGCGAGGAGGCAGAGGGCGACGCCGAGGAAGAGGAGGAAGGCGGGCGCCGCGTCGGGCGCCGCGAAGAAAGCGAGGAAAACCTGCGTCAGCAGCGAGCCAGACAGGCCGTAGAAGGACTTTGTCAGCCCGAGCACGAGGCCGCGCGACTCGCGGAAGTTGGCGCTGCAGGTGGCAATGGCGGCGCAGTCGAAGTAGCCCGACCCGTGCCCCCACAGGAACCAGAGCAGCCAGAGTACCGCAAAGTTGGCGTGCACATCAAACGCGGAACAGAGCCAGAGGCCGCCGTAGCCGAGCAGCGTGAGCGCCGCGCCCGCAAAGACGACCGTCCGCGGGCCGCCTCGGCGCGCGTCGTACAAAAAGCCGGCGAGCGGCACCCAGTTGCCCAGGTTGGACGCGAAGACCAAGTACTCCATGAGCGCCTCGCCGTCTGCGGCGCCAGGAAACAGGCGCGGCCGAAGCGCGGCGAGGTAGAGGTTTGTGATGTACACGCTCCCGCCGCAGAGCTCGAGCAGCATTGAGGCGACCAGGACGGACCAGCGGGAAGTGGGGAAGAGCGAAGACATTGCGCTGGTCGGCCCCTTGCCGGAGCCTTGCCTAAATGGGAAAAAGAAAACCCGTTGGACCTTCTTTTCTACCAGGCTACGAGCTTACTTCCTCTTGATCACAGCGGATTTTGGTCACAATTTTCACATCATCGCTCTCTCTCTCTCTCTCTCTGCTCTCGCTTTGGCTCCTTTTTCTCTTTTTGTGACAGGCGACAGCAAGGTGTGACCGTGTGAGCTACCACTTTCTTCCCCTACGCTCGTGTTATTGGAGATGTTCATGCTGCAGTTTATCGGGCCGACGATCGGCAGCGAGGAGACCCCTTGTCCCTCGCCTCGCTGCTCATCGTGGGCATTCGTTCAAGAAAGATGCTGAGCGAGCGTTGGCCTTCATACGTTATTCTTCCGATTCTATATTCTTTTTCGAAGCGATTTTCAGCGATTTTCAGCGGGAATATAATGAATATTTGAGAATATAGGTAGGCCCGATTTGGAGCTGTACTCTTGTGGCATATTCGAGAATATAGACCCTGTTTGGGACAAGAATACGGAAAGAATACGGAAAAAGAATCTAGATAGTAGTGGGCGAGAAAAACGTAGGCCAAAGCGAGCGCGCGACCGACGGCGACGGCGGCTACGGCTGCCGCTGCCGCGCTTCTGCCGCCGCTGCTGCTGCCTCTGCTGCGGCTACCCGGCGAGGCCATCCTCGCGCGCACGGACGCTACAGGCGCGGGCGCGGGGGTGGAGGGTGCGTATGAGGCGGAGATGATGGAGGCGCTCGCCGCGTGCGGCGATTGAGCGCCTCCCTCTCTCTCCGGCTGCGCGCCTGACCGGTGCAGCTCCGAGTCGGCCTAGCGCGCGCGATAGATCTAAGGTTTTTGCTCGCCTTCCCTGGACCCCGTGTTGCGTGACTGTCTCTCTGCGATTTCGGGCCCGGGGTTGTGCGGGTGAACCTTCTTTTCTACCAGGCTAGGATTGAGAGCAGCCTCGCTCTTAATCCTAGAAGTCGAAGGATTGTGAGCAGCACTCCTCGCAATCGTAGCATCTCCTGTGCGATTGTGAGCACCCACGCTCGCAATCCTTCATCTTCTATGCCTATAGAGCAGCTCCGCTCCCAAGGTGACTGGTGACGCCTACGACTACTACCAGCGCGCTCGCAATCCGAGCAAAGTCTAGGGTTGCGAGCAGCTTAGCTCACAATCCTGGCAACATGCCTCCGATTGCGAGCAGGAGCGCTCGCAATCCTACATTTTGCACGACGGATACTCTAGAGTCTCCCTGTCGTACTGATAGCAATGATCCAAGGATTGCACATAGGGCGCTCCCAAACACTCCAGCCGCGAGCGCTTGTGAGTGAGCGCGCCGGGATGGTCTCCTCACAATCCAAACAGTGATCGCACCGATTGCGAGGGGACCCGCGCGCAATCCTAGAAGTCGTAGGACTGTGGGCGGTGTCGCTCGTAATCGGCGAAAGTTCTAGGATTGCGAGCGCTCCTGCTCGCAATCGGAGGCCTGTCGCTAGGATTGTGAGCAGTGCTGCTCGCAATCCTAGCCTTTGCTCGGATTGCGAGCGCGCTGGTAGTAGTCGTAGGCGTCACCAAGTCACCTTGGGAGCGGAGCTGCTCTTAGTCCTAGAAGACGTAGGATTGCTAGAGGCGTGGCCGGCTTTTGGGCGTAGACCAAAACTTACAGCTGTCTACAGGGTACTTACATGGACTGGCTGTTCTTACAGACGCTTACACAAGGCATACCCACGCCTACCAGGCTTACCGTGGGGTGGTACTTGGGGCCATATATACCGGCACGAACCGGTTGGGTGCCGTTGGCAGCGGGGTGCGCTGATAGAGCCAGAACACACCGAAAATAGGCCTTCACACCGGTCACCGCGACTGAGACATCCCACCGAGCGTGGGTGCTCACACTCGCACAGAAATGCTAGCGCGTTGCGTCTCTGAGAGAGGGAGAGAGAGAGAGAGAGAGGTGCCCCGTTTGTGCCGCGTCCCGTGCCCCCGAGTTAAATATGAAGAGAGAGAGGGGGGGGGGAAGAAGAAACTGGAAAAAAGAAAAGGTTCATCGCGGACGACGAGGCCGCAGCAAGCTAGCAGCCTCGCTAGCCTCGCTAGCCTCGCTGCCTCGCCGCTAGCCTCGCCGAAATTAACGCCAGTCTACCGCCGCATGCCGGGCACCAACGCCCGCCGCTCCGGCCCGCCGAAGCACCAGAACAGCTTCGCGTGGGTCCCCGCCTCGGCGGACAAGCACAACACGCTGCAGGACAAGGTCGGCAAGCTCGACCTGCGCGGTGGCGTCTGCGCCAAGTGCGCGGCTGCCCGGCCCGGCCGAGTCGCCGCCCCCTGCATGAGCGCGCGACGGCTCCGCGCACAGGTGCTACGAGGTGATTGAGTGGAAGCGCCGGTACGGCAAGTACAAGCCGCTCAAGCAGCCGGCAAAGTGCCTCGGCTGCAACCAAAAGGCGGTGCACCAAGCCTACCACCAGCTCTGCCCTCCGTGCGCGGGCTCGCGCCGCGTGTGCGCAAAGTGCATGCGCGCGCCGCCGGCGCCGCCTACAGCCGAAGAGCTCGAGGCCAAGGAGGCGCAGGCGCACGCATCGCTCGAGTCGAGGCTCGGTGCACTGCCAGAGCGGCAGCGGCGGACGGCGCAGCGGCAGCTGGCGGTGGGGGCCGTGCCCGTCTCGCTCACGGCGCGCATCGAGCGGAGCCATGGCCCCACCGCAGTCGTGGCGGAGGACCTGGCCGCCGCCGCAGCTGCGAGCACCGCAGCTGCTGCCGCCGCCGCCGCTGCCGCCGCTGCCGCCGCTTCTTCCGAGCGGGCCGAGCCGGCCGAGTGCGCCACGCAAGGAGCAGCGCCTGCGGGTGGCGCCGCGCCCGCCCCGCCCCATTCGGCCGTCGAGGAGGCCGACGCCGGGGACGTGACGGCGCTGCTCGACGCGGCGGTTCGCCGCGCGCTGCTGAGCGAGGCAGAGGCGGACAGGCTGACGGACGCGATCGCGTCGGGCGCTCGTTCGGAGGAGGAGGTCGCCGCCGAGTGGGAGTGGGCGGCGAGGCTGGCGCTGCCAACTGGTGGCGCCGCAGTCGACCCCAGGCCCAGCAGCGAATGAGGCGAGAGAACGGCGAGGGCTTGACACTTGTGGCTTGAGGCGCCCGCCAAAGGAGAGCGCAGCAAAGCTTTGTGGGTAACGCACGCAAGAGAGCCGTCGTGCGCGGCTCTCGTCTATATAAAACTCACCGTCGCACGGTCCAGTGGCAGTGTGCACCTGTGCGCGCAGCGGCGCCACACACCGCACCGCCACACGCCACAGGACGGCCGAGATAAACTCCATACTGAAACACGGCGTGGAATACACGTCCACCATTCCCCAGTCGAGGCCGACGCGCGTCGGCCTGCGCGCTCCCCCCAAGGCCGTCAGTTCTCCTTGCCCGCCTCCACTATGGGCTGCAGCGCCGCCGGAGAGTACTTTACCGACTTCAACACTTTGTTGTCGGCCGTGCGGTAAACGAGGTACTGGCCGTCGCACTCCTCGATCCTCGCCGGCTGATCCTTGGCTGCGTAGTGCGCGACGGTCGCCTCGGCCTCCTCCCTCGTGGCGCATGCCTTGCTCATGTTTGATCTCTGAACCTCAGCAAACAGGTCGGCGAACCTTGTGCCGAGCCCGAACTCGTGAACGGCCCCGGCGTACTGGATGTCGGCGAGGGCGTCGGCCACCTCGACCAGATCGTTCTGCGAGATAGCCTCCTTTAGCTCGTTCAGCTCTTCCTGCAGCAGCTCCACGCGCAGGGCGCACCTCTTGGCGTCAGGGATTGCTGGCGAGACGACAACAGGCGCCTTGAAGAGGCGGTGGAAGGCGGCGACGTCACGGAGGCAGGAAGGCTCGCGGTACTCAGGCATGACGGAAAAACGGCCGTTCGCGGGCAACAGGCAGAGCAAAAGAAAGCGCCGGGCAAAGTTGTCTGTTTTCTTTCTTTCTTTCTATCTGTCCGTTTTTTATTTAGATCTACCTGGAATTTGTTTGATCTACCGCGTAGTACCGTGGAGGATATATTAAGGTCTAGGAAGCCGGGTGGGGGTGCGCGGAGCTGCGCGGCGGCGACGCCGCGCCGCCACAGCCCACACGCACACGGGCGGCCCGCACGGCGCTAGATCCGGTGTGGTCCGCGCGCGAATAGGGAATATCAACATGGTATTAAACGTATGCCTGCTTCTCCTTGTGTTTTTTGGGGCACCGCGCCCAAGCCCTCTCTGCGCACCCAGTAGCCCACTACTCTGGCACTAGCGGGCGGCGTTGCAAGCGTGCACCGCCCAGCTTGTGCCGGTGCCTGCAAACGGCGCCGCGCCATCCGCAAGCCCTCCCTCTGGCCGAGGGGCAAGCAGCGCCGCCAGCGCGGCTCTCGAGGCGGCCGCGTCGGAGCGGTGCGCCTGGGCGAGGCCGATCGGCTGAGAATGTTGCCCCCCCGTCCCGCCCTCTCCCCCGGCGCCTCCCGCCTTTGCAAGCGCGAACCCGAACTCGTGCGGCTTGCGCAGCCTTCCGTCTCGCGGCGCGGCGGAGGTCGGCTCTGGCTCCACCTCCATCTCGGTCGGAGGCGGCGGCTCGGGCGGCGGGTCGGGCTCGGGCGGGCGATAGAGGAGCGAGCGCAGAAAGGCGCGGCGGGAGGCGTGCGCCTCCAGCGCGGAGAGCGTCTCCTGCAGCGAGGCGTCGAGCTCCGCCGCCCCGTCCGCCTGCCTGCCCTCCGCCAAGCCGGCCAGCAGCGAGGAGAGGCTCGGCGCGTCTTGCGGCGGCTCCGGCGGCTCGAGGACCTGGAGGTCGTACGCCCGCCTACGGCGTGCGATCGTCTAGCCGCGTCACGCACGCGTGGCGGCGCCTGTGGGGCGGCGCGGGTGAGTCGCGCGTGGCGTGAGGCCCGTCAGCGATGACGTGGTGGATGACGAAGGGGAGGGCGTCGAGCGTGCGGTAGTGCTGCTCCTGCGGGCCGGCGGGCGGGGGCGTGGGAGCGAAGAAGAGGGAGGGAGGCGGGCGGGCGCCTCGCCTGGCGCAGCAGGTGCATCGTCTCGCAGAGCGACGCGCTGGCCGAGGGCTGCCTGCCGACCAGCTGCAGGAGCGGCGCCTTTGCTCGGTCGTGGTGCAGCGCCCACCGCACCATGCTGCACAGGTCGCGGTGCGTGAGGAATGTGTTTGGCGGCTGCGCCAGCGCGGCGGCGAGCGGAGGCATCAGCATGTAGCGCTGGACCGAGGCTGGGCCGCGAGGCAGGCCGAGGATGAGGCGGCAGATGAGCTGGGGCACGTCCGCGGGCGAAGAGCGGGAGAGCACCACCACGCGCGCACCGCCTACTCGCCACTCCTCACGCCCCTCGGGGGCCGCACGAGCGGGCAGCGGGCCGGTGCGGGCTGCGCAGCGGCGCCTTGCGGCCCCTCGGCCGACCAGTCCTGGTGCAGGGGGGTCCCCGGGGGCTGGCCCTCGAGGGGGGCCTGCCCCTGGGGAGCCCCTCAAACCCTCCCCGGGGGAACCCCCCCCCGGAAACCCCCCCCCCCCCCCCCCAACCCCCTCCTCTCCTCCCACCCCCTCCCCTCCCACCCCTCCCACCCCACCCCACCCCACCCCCTCCCCGAGACGTCGAGACGGGCAGAGGCGCGCACCTCGAACCTCACCGAAGAGAAGAAGCGGCGCAGCTCAAGAGGCTCCTGTTCCTCCGCCGCCGCCGCCGCCGCCGCCGCTGCTGCGGCGGCGTCGGCGTCGGCAGGGGCGACGGCGGCCTCGCCATTGCCACCGCCGCCCTCGCCCTCGCCGCCGCCGTTGTCCGACAGCTGCTGCTGTGCCACCGCAGCCTCGGCGGGCGGCGTGGCCGCGGGCGGGTCCTGGATGCGTTTCGCCCACACCTTGACCGTCCAGGCGACGGAGGGCTGCGCCGGGGGCGCGCCGGCGACCTGCGGCGCCGGCGCCGGCTCGAGCGACGAGCCGACAAAGAGACGGACCAAACGCGTGCGCGGCGTGGGCGAGTGCACCCCAGTGGCGCCGCCTGCGAACCGGAGCTCGTGCTCGAACGCGGCGGCCCTGGCGGTGAGCTCCGAGGCCAGCCGCGACTCAGCGCGCAGCAGCTCGTGGTAGCAGCCCGCGGCATTCGCTCCCACCTGCGACGCCACCAGCGCCGAGAGGCTGCGACACTGCGGCGACGCAGCCCGCGGCCCGGCCGCCGCGGGAGGCCGGGCCGGCGGCGCAGCGGCGACGCTCGCACTACGGCGCTTGGCGCCGACCAGGCGCTCCCGGAGCTGGGCCTCGTCAGTAGACATGGCGCCTGGGAAGCGGCGCTCGTTGCGCCCAAAACGAGAAACCAACCGGGTGCGGTGTGTGGCCGCGAAAGCACGGCTGGCATCCGTGGCGTGGGGCTCGCCTTCGAAAAGTCGGGCATGGCTCTCCCCGCAACTCTATCGCTAACACGCGCGCACCACCGAGACTGTGGTGAGCGCGCTGCGGTCGCACGTCTACCTCCGTCATAGTGCCACGACGTGCGGCCTAGAATTAGCACACGCGCCTCTGCTTGCATACACTCATACATTGGGTTGTCATCGCCTGTGAGTGCGAGAAGGGCTAGCCGCAGGCAGCTAGCCTCTGAGGAGGGCGTCCATAGACACCTCACTAGACCCCACACACGGTCTCGTCCGTGCCTCGCCGGCCGGAGAGATTGCTGGAGGTAGAGCAAGCCCGCTCTAGCCTCGCATATCACTTCCTGTCGTCTGTTGTTTGTTGCGCCCTTGTTTGTAGAGTCTTGGCACCGTGGAGTGCTGGGGGGGGCGACAGGGAGGATATGGCCTTGAGTTATGTGTACGCCGACTCAGGGTGTGTGGCAGCCCGCTGGCTGTGTGTCTTGTGAGCTTGTTTGTGTCTGTGTGTCGCTCGTGCGTGTCGTCATCATCTGTCCAGCGTCCACCCATACCGCGTTGGTGTCCAGTCCGAGCCTGGCTGTTCTTCACCTTTCTACCTACCTACTCGCACGTCGCGTCCACCCATCCGGGCCAAAAAAGAAAAATCTTTGCTACAGCGCGGGCCGCCGCTCGCCAAGCCCCTCAGATGAGTGGTCAGATGGATAGATCTAGTGCCCGAGAGCGAGGGGTCCGGGGTGGAGCACAAACATAGGACGCCCAGCCTTGCCCTCGCGCCGCCGAGTGTGCGTATCTTATGCGAGAGAGATCCCCTGTACGTGCCCTGTCCCCTATCCCAGCCCTCTCTCCGCGCGGCGATGCGCCCTCCCCGCCTCGCTTTTGCAAAATCCTGCAAAGGTGGGGACGTGTCTGTCCTCGACCCAGCCCTAGCTTGGGATGTCCGTTTTATTCCGCCTGCGTTTGGGTTTGTATGTTTGCGATTTGGAATTTGGCATTTGTCTAGTTCTTTGTTTATTTATTTACTTATGCAGTGTGAAGGGGAACCTGGTACGCGGGTCCAACCCTCGGAGAGTGTTCTTTAGCTCCGAGTAGAGGGCTGAGGCGGGGCGTTCTGCTGCTAGAGGGGGACCCAAAGCGCGAGGGAAAATTCCGCCGCTTAGGGAAACCCGGAGCGCGCGGAGCTAACCCTCAGAGACCCGTGTTATGGCCCTGCGACCGCGCACCCCCCAGGGCTAGGGCTCTCTTGCCCGCAACCCGATGCCAATCGTCCGGCCTTTATGGGTGCGCTTCTTAGCTCCCCGGCCCTGGGCGTGCGTGGGAGAAAGGGAGAGGGGTTTGTGTGTGTGTCTCTCTCCCGATGTAGAGAGCGATGTAGAGCGATGTTGAGCGCGATTTACTTAGTGATTTCACTGTGAATTCGCACTCTACATCGCTCTAACATCGGACGGAGGCAGTCCGTCCCGCGCCGGATGGCCGGATGTAGAGCTCAAGTCTCTACAGCTCTGCAGCGCTCCAGAGCGCTCTACATCTCTACATCGCTCTACAGCGCTCTACACTCTACATCCTCTACACGCCTCCCTCAGATTCTCGTTTGGTTGGCGGCGCGATGCTGCCGCCCTGGCTGGCTTTCGACCCGTGCCGAGACACATTTTGCAACCCGTTCGATTCCTGGCTCACAAATAAAGGCAAGCTAAAGATGTTCACGGGCCCGCGGGCCCCCACAGGGGGGGCGGAAACCCGGGCAAAGCACCGGCTGGCGTTCCTAAAGCGCGTTCGGCCCGCAGTCTCGCTCGGCCCAAGTTGTCGGATACCCATGTCTTCGATGTTGAGCGTCGGCGTCCTCTTCGACTTTGACGGCACGCTGGGCGACACCGAGGCGCCGGCGATGGACGTCGCCTTTTGGGAGCTCGCGCCCTTCATGCCGTCGCTCGAGCGGCTCGCCACGGACCCGGCGGGGCTCGACGCAGCCCGGGACGCTTTTGTGGTGGAGAATGCCGGCAAGGCCTTCGAGTTCATGCTCGAAAAGGTGGACGCGGAGCGCGCAGCGTCCGGCGGGCTGCTGCCGATCGAGCAGGCCTGGGCGCGCGACCTGGCGGCGTGCGCGCTCACAGCCTCGCCGCTCGCAGCGGCGGTGGACACGCAGCGCGCAAAGCTGGGGCTGAAGACGCTCGCCGACATCTTCTCCGCCAGCGCGGCGGAGCCGACCCTGCTCGCGCAGCAAAAGGCCGACACCAACGCGCGGCTCGCGATCGCAGCCACCCCGACGCCGAACACGCCCGCCGCACTCGAGGCGCTGGTCAAGGCGACCTGCGCCGTGCCGCCGGTCGCGGGGCCCCACCGCGTTGCAGCTCCTCTCACGAGAAGCCTCTGGCCTCGGCCTCGCCGCAGGCCAGCGTGCCCTTTGTGATCGCCACCACCTCCGGCAAGCCGCGCGTGCCAATCTGCGTCGACGCGTGCGGCTTCCGGGCGCACTTTCCGTCCGACGACGCAAACATCCACTCGGGCGAGTCGGACTTCGACCCGCCGCGCTTCAAGCCGGCGCTCGAAGCCTCGCCCCGCCTCCCCAGGGCCCTGTCCGGCGGGTCATGCTTTCCCGCGGAGCCCGCCCTCTCCCACCTCCCCGCCGCGCGCACCCTGCTGCCGGCCCGCCTCTGCCGCCCCGCCTCTGCCGCCCCGCCTCTGCCGCCGCCTCTGCCGCCCCACCCTCTGCTGCCGGCTCGCCAGGCGCCGGACGTGTACCTGCGAGCCGCCTCGTACGTCGGCGGAGGAGGGGGTTTGCCTCCGGCCCGGTGCGTGGCCGGCGGAGCGCCTCTGCGAGCGGGGTCGGCAGGAGCCGTCCAGGAGCCGTCCAGGACGCGTGCACGGAGCCTCCCTGCAGGTGCGTTGCGGTGGAGGACTCTGCGAGCGGGGTCGGCTCCGCCGCCAATGCGAAGATCGGCCTGATCGTCGGCTACGTCGGCGCATCCCACATCACCGACAAGGAAGCCGGCCGAGGTCTCGAGGTCTCGCGCGCACATGAGCCGTCCCTGAGCCGTCCCTCGGGCCCTCGGAGTAGGACGGGCACGCGCGGATGCTGATGCGCGGGCACGACCGGCCGAGGCGGCTGCGGGACGGGTGGGGCCCTGCCCGGACGCGCCTCTCCTCCTCCTCTGTAGGGAGCGGTCCGAGGACGGGCGCGGAGCCGACGTCGTGCTTGCGGACATGGCGGACTTGCCGGCCGTGGTTGCGGCGTTCGGCACGGGCGGCGGCGCGGCGGTGCGAGGCGCGTCGTGGGTGCGCCTCCCGAGCTGCAGCAGCTAGCTCTGCTGCAGCTGATACCTCTGCTACAGCCCATAGCTCTCTGCTACAGCTGCTTCGACCTCCTGCAGACAGGGGCTGGGCAGGGATAAACAAGTGGTGGAGACGAGTCGAATCGCGAGCGCCTCCTCCCTCGTACCTAGTAGCGCTGTAGCGGTCTTCGGTGGCCGGTGGCGTGCGGCCGCGTGGCGGGCCGGCGCCGTGCGTGAGTGTGGGCGGGCTCTCCGAGGGCGCGCCTGCGTCAGTGTGCCTGCGTGTCCGGTGTGTGCCCCGCCACCCCGCACTGGCCTTCGACCGCAGCACGCGTGGTCTCGAGCCCCCGCACGGACCGAGCCGCTGTCGTTTTTTGCATGCGATCGCCCATCTCATGACAAAACACGGTAACGGTTTTCAAAACCAATTTCATCGCCGCGCACCAATGTTCTTTGGTGCACCCCTAGGGATGAACCGTCTCGCTGATTGGGCTGAAGCCTGTGAACCGCTATATAGGCTCTACGTACCGCGGCTTCGGGGCTCGGGGTGCGGGGTCCGGGGAGACGCGGCGGCGCGCAAAACGCAACACATCGCGTGCAAAATTCAAGGTCTCTCGCACACGTGCTTGCGGATGACGCGTCGCATCTCGCTGGCGGAGCGTGCCGATCGAGGGGGCGCCCCAACTCCGCCAAAGTATCCGCGCCTCCTCAGGCCAGCGAGGTGAGCACGCCCTCGAGACCGAGCTTGCGCGGCGGCGCCTAGGCGGAGGCAGGCGTCGCGTGTGAGCGGAGGCGCGCACGCCGAACATGTCGTATGAAAGGCGAGCTAGCAGCCACGGCCCGGCCCGGCCGGGCCAGGGCACAGCGGCGCGCCTTGCTCTCGGGGTCCAGCGGCTTTGCCGGGTAGCCTATAGGACGAGGCAGCCATGAGCGAGGACGAGGCAGCGCCTAGGATTCAGATGGAGGACGCGAGCCCGCGCCGTACCACACGGCGCCCATGAAGCGCTCTGCTGCCGCGTCGGCGCCCACAGCGCCGAGGATATCCTCGGGCGCGATGCCGAGAGCGCCGGTCATCCACTTGCTGCCTGCAGGCGCGGGGTCGCGACCCGTGAGCAGCCGGAGGCGGATGGATCAGAGGCGGGTGATCAGAGGCGGAGGCTCGCCGATCCCATCGTCGGAGAAGGAGAGCATCATGTTTTGGATGGCGCACGAGACTGCGGCGTGATCCTCGAGGCCCTTCTTGGTCGAGATTAGCCCCGCGTCGTCGTACTCGGTCGCCACAGTCACCACGATCCAGCCCGGTACGCCCTCAAACATCGCGCGCTTGTCTTCGTTCAGAGCACACAGCTTTGCGACCGTCTCGGGGCCGCACTGGTAAAAGCGCCACGGCTCCGTGAGAAAGTGGTTTGGCGCGAGGATCGCCGCCTCGAGCGCGGCAGTCACGACATTCGCGGGCACGGGCTTGGACGAATCATACTTCGCGACGCTGCGGCGCTGCGCCAGCGTTGAAAAGACGACGCACTCGTCGGCAGCGGCGCGGGGCTGGGGAGTGCGGTGCGCAGCAGCCGGGACGGGTGCTTGCAGCCGGGAGGGGAGGAGGAACGAGGCAGCGAGCGTGTAGAGCGCGAGCATGTGGCGATGTGGCGGAGACGCTGCGCCCACAGAGGTCGCGAGGTGCTATCACCACTCCGAGAAAGACGAGGCGCAGACAAAAGAAAATTTCCGGTTAAGTGCTCCAAGTGCTCCTCGGAGTCAGGAGCAGGAGAGCCCCACCTGTCCCCCTGATCGTCCTTCCAAAATCCTGCTCGTGCCTCGTGCAGGTGGGGACCCTGTCCTCGTCCCATCCCTCGTTTGGCGTGTCTGTTTTCTTTCTTTCTTTCCTCGGAATATCTTGATTTTTTCTTCAAAGATAGCCTTTGCCTTTCTTCAAAGATAGCCTTTGCCTCTATCGGTGCTGCGAGTACAGACCACGCCTGCTATTCACATAAACATACAACCCCGAGAAATCGCACACAGACAGTCACGCAACACGGGGTCCCAGGGAAGGCGAGCAAAAACCTTATCACGCGCGCTAGACGCCTGCTATTCACAGCACAACCGTTGCCTTGGCGGCGAGGGCCGGGGCAGCTTTGTTGTGCAGCCCTTTTTCAGATGGCAGATATGCAGTCGGTGAACACACAGATGCCGTCGGTGGACATGCTCCTGACGGCAGAGACCGCGCCAGCGTACGCGAACGGCGTCGGTGCGCTGGATGGCGCCTCCCACGCTGTAGAGGTCGACGGCGGAAACCTCAACTATGCCTTCAGGGTGTCATGTGCGGACGGCAACTCCATCTTCCTCAAGCAGACGCCTGGCTTTGTCAAGGCTCGCTTGCTTCATTCCGCTCTCTGCGTAGACTCCACAGTGTGGCGCACCCACATTCGCAGCCACACTCCTCCCCAGGTCCTCCCGTGTCGTTCGCTCGACGCTCGTCCCGCTAGCCGCTAGGTGTTAATATTCACAGCCTTGACCCTTGTTATGAGTGAGTGAGTATTCTTGATACGAAACCACGACGACACACACCAGTCGACTCGCATCGGTTGCCTCCATGAACGGCGGAGCTGCGACGGTGTATCATTCACTTTATGCCACCGTTGCATATCCTGCGACGGTGTATCATTCACTTTATGCCACCGTTGCATATCCTGCGACGGTGTATCATTCACATTGTGCCACCGTGGCAGCACCGGCATTGCTGGGGACACTTGAAGGGCACGCAAGGCCTCCGAAGTTTTATCTCTGGGCCCCGAAAGGCATCTCTAGCAGCGGCGTTACGCGTGCGCCCTCCCCTCCTGGGCGCATGCGCCTCACGTCTCGACAGAGCATAAGCCCCTTGGCGTGTGACGAGACGAGTTCTTCGCAATCGCAGCGAGCAGCAAGCCACTCGCCGCAGCAGCCGGAGGCATCGCCGCAACGCTGTCTGCGCCGCGGTCCCGCACCCGTCGACGAAGCTCCCCCCGCGGAAGACCGCGCGTAGCGACGCCTTGACGATCGAGATGAGCGCGCTTGAAGCTCGCCCACCTACACACACACACACACACACACCCTTGTTATGAGAAGGAAATACGTCCTATGGCGCTGTGCGCTGTTCACAGGGGGTGCTACGCTGCGCTTTTCGGCGAAAAGAGTGTTAGAGTTGTTTGGTATTGCTAAAAATCTCACACACACACACACACACACACACACACACACACACACACACACACACACACACACCCACGAGTCGGCGCCCCGTGGCGGAAGTTCTGCCCGTCAGGTGCTGATCCTCGAGTACCTCGGCACGAGCGTGCTGCTGCACGAGAGGCTCGTGGAGGGCCACGTCGACAGTGGTGTGGGGCGCGCCCTCGGCCACTTCCTCGGCGCGGCGCACGCGTCCACACACGCGCCGCTGCTCTCCCGCCGGAGCGCGCCTCTTCGCTTGCCGCTGGCTTCTCCAACTGCGAGCTGCGCGGGGGTGGCTGCGCGCGAGCAGGCCGCCACCCTCCTTCTGCCCGCCTCCGACCCGACCGCGCCTCCGCCAGGCTGCAGCTCGAGCACCTCTTCTCCAAGTGCTACCGCGAGGACGCGCGCGCCGCGGCGCTGCGCGAGGACGCGGCCTTCATGGCCGCTGTGGAGGCGCCCCGACCGGCACGCCTGCTCACGGCGCCCGCGTGTGAAGATGCCCCCTCGCCCGCCCAGGCTCTCAAGGCGCGGTACGGCGGCGAGGGCGGCACCGGCCTCGCGCTCTGCCACGGCGACATGCACGCTGGCTCGGTGATGGTCGACCCGGCCTCGGGCGCGGTCAAGGTGATCTTGTGCACTCGTGTGTGTCGCTCGCTTGTGAGTGCCGGTCCGTTTGCGTGAGTGTGTGCAGTCCCCTGTGTCGTTCGCTCGACACTCGTGTCTCGTCCCGCTAGCCGCTAGGTGTTAACATTCACAGCCTTGACCCTTGTTATGAGGAAATACGTCCTATGGCGCTATGCGCTGGTCTGTGAGAGGCTGAGGTGCGAGCCCTGGAGGCCCTGGGGATGGGGGGAGACTACCGGGCCTAGAAGGCCCGCGCGCAGGGGGGTGTGTTCACAGCCTTCACAAAGGGTGCAAGCTGGCGCTGCTCACCTCGAAAAGCGTCGTCGCGTACGTGCGCGAGAAACTCGCCGGCGTGCCGTCGCTGCCGTTCGCACTCGACGCCGAGCTGGTCGTCCGCGACATCACCGACGGCAACCTCAACTTTGCGTTCTCTGTGGGCGAGGCAGCGGATGAGGCTCGCGCAGTGTTTGTGAAGCAGGCGCCGGGCTACATCAAGGTCCTCGGCGAGGCGTTCAAACTGGCCGCGGAGCGCATGGTGCTCGAGAGCGAGGTGATGCAGGCGTACGCGGCCCTCACGCCTGACTACGTCCCTCGCTTCATCCTCCGCGACCCAGAGAGTTTTGTGATGGTGACCGAGTACCTCCATGGCTACGTGCTGATGCGCAGCGCGCTGATGTCTCGCCGCCTGCAGGGCACCGCGGCGGTTGAGGAGGTCGCGCGCTTCATGGCCGTAACTCACTCGGCGACATGGATCGGAACTGCCGGCGCCGAGCGCTGGGGCACGGTCAACAACGAGACGATGTGCGGGATCACGGCCGACTACGTCTTCTCGAAGCCGCTCGACGCGGCCGACGGGACGAACCGCTGCTCGAGCGGTCTCACCGACGTGGCTGCCGCCCTCCGCGCCGATGCGGCCCTCTGCGAGGGCGTGCTCGCCATGCGATCGACTTTCCTAATGACGAAGCAGTGCCTCGTGCATGGCGACCTGCACACGGGCTCGGTGATGGTCCCGGCCGACGGCGGCACGGGCCCCGCAAAGGTGATCGACGCCGAGTTTGCCTTTTTCGGCCCCGCAGCGTTCGATGTCGGTTCGTTTGTCGCCAACTTGGTGTTTGCGGCATCGCTCGGCCCCTCGCCAGAGGTGCACGCCATGATCCACGCCGTGTGGGTCACATACGTCGGGGCAACGACGCCGCTCAAGTCCGACAACGCCGCGACGGCCGAGATGCTCCAGCTCGCATGTGGCTTCTGCGGCTGTGAGCTGATACGGCGGATTGTCGGCGCCGCGCATGTGGACGATCTGGAGAAGGCCCCGGAGGCGATCAAGCTGACCGCGGAGAAGACGGCACTAGCGATCGGCTGCCGCTTAGTCAAGGGGAGGGAGGGCATCGGCTCGATCGATGCGCTTCTCGCGATCGTCCAGGAGGAGGTTGGCAATCCGGCGCACGCGAGCTTGTGATTGCTGCCCACTGGCTGCCCAGGGGGCGCCGGCCATTCAGTACAGGCCGATGCACGGCGCCTCTCTCTCGGACCACACCTGCGCATCCGCCAGCCGCAGCCACCTGGCTGTGAGGCGTCGATAGACCGCGTCCGATTTCGCGTGTCTTCCACAGTGCGAAATCGGATGGCTGCCGCCGCGCCCCACCCCGGCTGCGTGCGGCTCCCTCCGGCGGCCGGCTCCCGGCCCAGGTGCACCCGCGGTTTCGTGCTCCTCGGCAGCCCCTCTGCCGACGGCCGAAGCGAGCCGGAAGCCTGCCGAGCGGCTGCCTTCGGCGAGACGGCCTCGGCGGAGGGACCTCCACTCAAGGCGTCAGGAACTCCTATCCGTGTGCTGCAGCGTCTAGTCTCAGAGAGCCGCCTGTGCACATGTGTCGATATTTCGCGCAAATGCTTGCCGCCGGCGACAAACCCCAGCTACGAGTGTGTGAGCAACCGCTCAGAGAGTATCCATCTGGGACCCTCATACCCGGAGTTTGCAATCTACGGCCCCCCCGGGCTCGACGTCGGCTGCCTCCTCTCGTCGTACCTGCTCGCGGCCGTGCTTGCCGCCGGGCGCCAGCCGGAGGCGGGGGCAAGTGACACCTGCCGCCGGCTCCGCTCCGCCGTGCGCGAGATTTGGGAGCCGAGTGCCCCACACGCCAGCGGCAGACAACCGGCCTCCCACACGCGTCGCCCTCTCTCAGCCCGCGGCATCCTTCCCACACCCAGGCCTACGCCGTGCGCATGAAGGAGGGCGTCGTCGACGCGCCCACCGTTAGCGCGGCGGGCGCCGACGCTGCGGGCTTCGCGGGCTGCGAGCTCGCCCGCACCGCACTGGGCTATGCAGGCGCGCGCGGCCTGCCCATTGCAGATGCCGACGCGAAGGCCGCCGCCGAGGCCGCCGCGCTCCGGGTGGCGGAGCGGTGCATCCGGCGGCGAGGCGAGGGCGTGGGCGTCGTCCGCGCGGAGATGGACGCGCTGCTTCTGCCCCAGTGTCCCGGAGATGCGGGGAAGCAAGCGGGAAGAAAAGCGGGCGCGCAGAAGTAGGGGTGCTTCTTGTGGGACCTGATCCTTTGTAAAGAAAGTCTAGAAAAGCGCAGTAGAAAGATAGAAAACTGTGACACGCTCCCGCCTCCCCGGTCCGAGGCGCTAGAGGCAGGCGAGGGATGGGAGGACGGCACGCCGCCAAGGCCAACACAGGCATTCTTTGGTAGTAGACTTGCCATTTCTTTTCTGAAGGTTTGCCTGAGCCTGTGTTAGTGCCAGTGCGCGCGCCAGTCCGTGCCCACCTGTCCGTGCCCAGTGTCGGGCACTTTGGAGCGGAGCACTTGGAGCACTTGGAGTGCAGTTTCATCAACCGCACATCCAGGGCCGAACTAAGAAGCACACCCAGCGGGCCGGATGATTGGCATCGGGCACTTGGAGCACTTGGAGTGCAGTCATCAACCTCACATCCAGGGCCGGGGAGCTGACAAGAAGCGCACCCAGCGGGCCGGATGATCGGCATCGGGTTACGGGCTAGAGAGCCCTAGCCCTGGGGGGTGCGCGTTCGCAGGGAAAGGGCCATAAAGTAAACACGGTTCTCCTAGGGTTGGACCCGCGTACCGGGTTTCCCCTAATTGCAGGACGCCCCCTCTACGTCGGAGCTAGTGGACATTACACGGTACACCACGCCCAAAGACACTTGCTTAGTCCTCGGTCCCGGAGCTCCATCTTCCATCCTCCCGGGGCTCCGGTTCTCCCCGATTCGCTCTCTTGTTTGCTTGCCGAGCGTCATACGACGGCGGATGTGGTCGTTTCCCTCGTTGTTGGTGTCGCTTTCTCCGATGTTGGAGCACTTTGGAGTGCAGTCATTAACCTGTCGAGCAGCTTCCGCGGCGCCCATGCGGACCGCCGCTGCACGGGGCTAGGCACCAGAAGATGAGTGGAGTTGATGAATTGGGCCGTCGTCCGTGCCTCCCCTCTATTCGTCAGAGTGGGACCTACGCTGCGCCGGCCGGGTAAGTAAGGGGAGCGCCCGGTCCTCGACGGAGCCGCGCGCCCCAAACGACCCAGGCGGCGAGTAGTCGTCGTTGAACCTCCGGCGTGTAGTTGCCCGTGGTTAGCGCCCGTCCGCCCTCCGCCGTCCGTCGCTTCGTGTGACCAGCGGAGATAGAAGGGGTCAACAATCTTTCTCTACGTGTCACCATCATACTCGTATCATGTTGACCTGCTGTCAAGCTCCTGCGTCCTGCCCTCAGGCAGCGACAACACCATGCCATCCTCCTGTCCTCTCTTCCCGGCGAACAGGGATGACGTTGTGCTTGCACGCGTCGGCAAGTCGTGGTGGCCTGCAAAAGTGACCGACGTAGGCGCCGAGCGAGCACAGCTCCTCTTTTTTGGCGACTTCAAGGTGTCGACACACGCCGCCATACCCGCCGCCGCGACGCCCTAAAAGTCTCACGCTTGCCAGCTTGTGCGCCCTCACCACCACCTTGCGTGTGCACAGACCGGATCCTGGCCGAGGTCACAGCTACGGCCGCTGAGCGACCTGCAGAGCCTCCCAAAACGGAGGCAGCCCCGCTCCGCCTGCTACACCTCTGCCCTCGTTGAAGCGGAGGAGTGGATCGATCGCCGCGCCACAACGCACTCGGTGGGCAGCAAACAGCTGGTACCGCCCGCCCTCCCTGTCGCCTCGTTCCGCCGGGCTCTCGAGCCCGCTATCAGCTACAACAGCGGCAGCGAGGCCCAAAAGGAACCGCAGTGTGAGGAGGAGGAGGAGGAGGTGGTATCCGAGGTCGCCTTTGTGCGGCGGCACGCTCCGTTGGAGCTCATGGAGAAGCACGGCTACGCGGCTCACCCCTCGATCGCGAAGCTGATGGGCGGTGCGTCGGTCGCCGCAACGAGCTTCGAGGCGGCTGTGGCCAGCGGTCTGGTCGGATGCGAAATTCTGGTGCCACCGGAGTGCTTCTTGGACGACCCCAAGGGCGCACCATACCGCGCGCTCGTGCTGCGCGTGCGCCGGGGCCGGCCCGACGCGGTGGATGTGCGCTATCGAGCAAGCGGGGCCTGCTCATGGTTCCCGGCCACACAGGCTGCCGCTTGGGTGTGCGCGAGGGCGCCGCCAGCTGCTGGGCCGCCGCGGAGCGGGCTTCCGCCTCGGGCGCAAGCGCCGCGGCATTCCTGCGCGCGCAAGCGGCCCACTGGGGAGAGGTGCAAGGGCTGCCGGCGATTCGGCAAGTCGAGATGCCCCACCCACTCGCAAGGCGGTTTGGGGGCGACGACACCAGCAGCTGACCCGCCCGCCGACCCGCCCGCCAAGCGCCTCGCCGTCGCTGGCATGTGTGGCACCTTCGGCTGTATCCTCTTGGACCGCCACCAAGGATTACACGTCTGTCCACCACCGCCCAAGGGCCGCGGCAAACAGTCGTACGTCACACCGCCCGTCTAAGAGCACTCTTGTGCTCTTGATGGCCTGTATCCATGTTTCCGGAAACCAAAAAGGAAACGAGAGGGTCCCCAGCACTTTGCGTTTCCGGAAATTTCCAGGGAAACTAGAGGGTGTTTGGAGGCAAGTTTGGTGCTCCATTCTGGCAACTCTCGAGTTTCCCTGAGTTGTTTTGTTGAGTCTGAGAGCTGGTCTGGGGCAAAATCTGAGGCGAAACCGAGGAAATCGGCAAAATACCCAGCCGGTCGCAGGGTAATTTCCAGGTATACCCCGGTATTTTGCCGCTTTGCCTTTGGCTGATTTTGGGCCCAAACCAGCTGATTTCCACGGAGTTTCCTCGGGAAACTAGAGAGGAAACGAGAAGAAACGAGAGGGTGCTGTGGAGAAACACGGAAAGGAAACGAGACGGGGTGCGCGAGGAAACATGGATGGATACAGCCTAAAGTCTGCCTCTTCCTATCTCTCTATCTCCCTGGTGGGTAAAAGAAAGAAAGAAAGAAAACGGACACGCCAAGGGAGATGGGAGGACGGCACGCCGCCACCACACAGGGATTTTAAGGAGAGGGGTGTGATGCGCTAGCCGTCGCCCACCCTTGGGCGTTTTTGCCTCGCTTTGAAGAATTCTTCTGTTGCTCTCGTTGGGCAATGTCGATCTCATGAGGACCCGTCCAAGCTGGCTGGTCCCTTTAATTGCCCTCCCGTGCATCCGAGCCGTTTCCTCCGCCGGCCATAGCCGCCGCGTGGCTAGCGCGCGCGCCGCGCGCGCGCGACTCGCCCGCTCGGCTGCCGACGAGCCAGCCCGCACCGACTGGAGGAGCTTCCGTGCTAACCTGGTGCGGGAACAGCGCGGCATAGCGGGAGCGCAGGCGCTGCACACCGATGAGGCACCGAGCGGCGGCGGCGACTGGTGGGTCCACGAGCTCGCTGCTCCCGAGCCGGGCTGCCTGCTGCTCGCGCAGCCGCACGCGCACATTGTCGTCGAGGAGCCGCTGATGCACCGGGCGGTCGTGCTGGTGCTGGAGCATGACGCGGCCCGCGGGACGGTCGGCCTGCTCCTCGACACGCCGGCCAACGCGACGGTGAGCCAGATGCTGCGCCGCCGCGCCGAGCCGAGCCCGCACCTCCTCCCGCTCGGCGGCAACCAGCTGCTGGTGGGAGGGACGGTGCTGCCGCGCGAGAGGCTGCGGGTGCTCACCTCGCGGTGCGACGTTCCGGGGGCAAGGCGCGTCCTCCCCGGCCTGTACTCGTGCGCGCCCGACGCCGCCGCGCGGATGGTCGCCATCGGCGCCGCCGACGCCGCGTCGTTCGACGTGTACGCTGCGGCGTGCCAGTGGTCGCCGCTGCAGCTGCGCGAGGAGCTCGAGGCGGCGCTGTGGCTGCCTGCGGCGGCGAGCGCGGCGGCGATCGCGCGGCCGCGCGAGTGGCGGAGGGACGGCGTCTACTTCAACCTGGTCGAGGGGCTCGGCGGGCAGTACCTCAAGCAGGCGCGCCGTCGGGGATGCCTCTGGGCGCGGGCGGGAGGTGGGGTGCCGGTGGTGGCGGCTGTCGGAAGGCGGCTGCAGGGCGGGTGTCTGAGACGGGCGGTGGGCAGAGAAGGGAGGGGCTTGTGTGAGGTGCGGCTTGGGAGGGGCGCACGCCGCTGCTGCCACCGAGAGCTGCTCGCCCTCCGCGCGCCCTGCACCCCCCCGCCCTTCCCTGACATTCTTGGAAGTGCCCCGCCAGGCGCTGCTCGCCCGCACGGAGGAGGAGGTGAGGTCGTGGCTGGCGACCCGCTCCGCCCTAGCGCCCGGCCTGCTCCGCGCCCTCGCGGCGGACGTCCTCTCCGCGGAGGAGGCTGGCGCGGGCGGGAGGAGGGAGGCTGGCGGCGGGCGCGAGGCGCGAGGGGTGGAGCCGCCACGGCCAGCGGTGACGGCGGACGAGGTGTCGTTTCGGCTCCACGTGCGTCGCTCCCCTCCCTCCCACCGGGCGCGGCTCGAGGCGAGCGTCAGCTTTGGCGGCTGCCTTGTCAGGCGCTGCTCTACCCTCGCGACAACCTCACCGACGTGCGGGACGGGGTTGGGTCGCTCGCGGAGCAGGCGGGCGGCCTAGGGTTAGGGTTAGGGTTAGGGTTAGGGTTGGGGTTGGGGTTAGGGTTAGGGTTAGGGTTAGCAGGCGGGCGGCCCCGCAGCCCTCCTCTCCGCACACGCCTCCAAGCCACGCCTATCCCCCTCCCCCCCACCCCCCCACCCACCCCCCCGCGCAGGCGGCCTACATCTGGTTCACGCGCGAGGTCGAGGCAGGCGCCTTCCTCAACGGAGCCGGAGCAGCGGCGGGAGCAGCAGCGGGGGGCGCAGCCACCCCTCCGCCTCGCTCGGCGAGGGCGCCCTTCGAGCTGGTCCCGCCGGCGGTGCGGCGCCCGCACGCCCCGCCCCGCCGGGCAGGTGCTCCTCTCCACCCCGGGCGACCCTCGGCTGCAGGTTCCTCGCTCGCCGAAGAGCGCGCTCCGCCGCCGCTCGAGCGAGAGGGCTGGTGCCGCTTGGGCAGCCAGCGGGGGCTCCTCCCCGCCGGGCGGAAAGACATCGCTGAGCGGCAGCCCGGCGCTGCGCGTGCTCTCTGCCGCGGCGGCGGGGCGTGTGTCTCAGGAGAACGCGCTGCACGCGATCCAGTGCGCGAGTAGTCTGCAGAAGTTGGGGAGCAGAGACGCGACCGAGAGACGGCGCCGCGAGATGGTGCTGGGGTGCTGCTTCCCCTCCCGACCCTCCCCGCCTCCCCGCAATGTCGCGCCCGCGCTTCGCCGACCGCTCGCTGCTCGGCTGCAGGCTGCTACTCTTCGACGTGCTCGACTTCCACGCCGCGCCCGAACCGACGCCGGAGCAGGCGTCGCTCCCCGACCTGCTCCGGAGGCGCGGCGGGGCGGCGTCGCTCTTCTCCCTGTGCGCGGCCCCTCTCCGCCCCCGCATGCCACCTCCCTCACCTGACACGTCGCTTGCCCGCCCCGCCCCTCCATCTCGCCTCCTCCCGCCTCCCTGCTCCCATTCCCGACGTGCATCGCGGGGCATGCGTGCGCGGGCTAGGTGTGTGCTCTACGCCACCCTCGCGCGCAAGCTGGGCGTCGGCCTTCAGCTCGTGCGCCTCTCCCCGCCGCCGGGGCGGACCCTGCGCGGGTGCCGCCGCCTCTCGACCTCTCCTCGTCCCGACAGCCGCCCTGCTTCCGAGCTTCTCCGCCCCGTGGCGCCGCAGGCCTCCCTTCCTTCTCGCGCTCGGGCCGGCGGAGCTCTTCATCGACATCCTCGCCGCGGGCCGGCTCCGCACGCTGAGCGACCTGGCGCAGTTCCTGGACGGCGGCGACGGCGACGGCGGCGCGGTGGGCAGGCTATCGCCCGCGCAGCTCCGCGCGGCGGCGAAGCCGCTCGACCAGCGCGCAGTCTGCCTGCAGCTCGTCCGCGAGTCCGAGGCCTCGAGCGCGAGCGTGGGCCGGCTGGCGCACGCGCAGTTTTGGAGCGCGCAGCGCGAGCTGCTCGAGGCCTACCTGCGAGAGTGAGAGACACGGCGTGCCCCGTGTGTGCACCCGTGTGCCGCTGCCACACTGTTGCCCGAGCCTCGCCGCCGTCTGCGGCCGTCGTCCGGGGGGCGGGGCCCGCCCCGGGTGGCGGGGGGGGTCGTGACTCGTGTGCGGTGACCGGTGTGCCGGCGGTGCGGTCATATGCGCGTCCGCGCTCCGCGGGTCGGGGGGTCGCTCGTCGCGTCGTCGGTCGTCTCCCCGGTCCCGTCTCGTCGATGTCCGATACTAGACTTCAGTGAGAGCACAGAGGCTCGCCGAAGGCTTTACGGCATATAACCACGAAAATACGCTTTACTGTGACACTAACGACGCAACAGACGGGTGACCTGACAGGGGCTACTCTCCGCGCCGCGCACACTGTCATCACCTCTGAGAGCAAATAGCTGGGGGGTACACGAGCGCAGACCCGGGCAACTACTTCTTCTTCTTGCCCTCCTCCGGCGGCATGTCCTTCTTCTGGATGACGGACACGACCTGGGGGCGGCGGCGGGGGAGGGGGGGAGCGGTGACGGTTGCGCGAGAGAGGGGGGGTGGCATGTGCGGAGGGCGCACCTTGCCAAGCATGACGGCGGTGTTGCCGTCGAGGAAGGCGATGCGGGACAGGCCCTCGCAGTTTTTGAACGAGTCGACGACGAGCGGCTGCTGCGGGCGGAAGGAGACCTGCGCCATCTCGTTCGACTTGAGCGAGTGCGGCGACTCCATCTTCTTGCCGCCGGTCTCCTTGCCGACCTTGAACTTGAAGGCGGTCGCGCGGCACGCGGAGCGGCCGCAGCGCACAAAGCCGATCGGCGAGTAGCCCAGCTTGATCTCGCCGGGGATGTCGAGGGTCTGGATCTGCGCGTCGAACTCGCCGCACTGCGTCAGCGTCTTGTCCTTCTTGTAGATCATCACGTCGCCGACGCGGGGCATGTTCTGCTTCTCGAGGCCCTTGATGTTGAGGCCGACGTTGTCGCCCGGGTTGGCTTGCGGGTGCGTCTTGTGGTGCATCTCGATGGTGAAGACCTTGCCCGCGCAGGCGTTGGCGTCGGTGTGGGTGGGCATGAAGATCACCTCGGTGTTGGTCGTGATCACGCCCTGCTCGACGCGGCCCGCGAGCACGTCGCCCACGCCCTTGATCTTGTAGATGCCGGAGACGGGCATCCGCATCTCGGCCTTGTCGGTGCGGACGGGGGGCGAGCAGAAGTCGTTGAGGCACTCCTTGAGCGTGTCGACGTGCATCTTCGTCTTGCCGTCCGGGCCCCCGATCACGTCGCAGCCCGTCCACCAGTCCATGTTCTTCGTCTTCTCGATGAGGTTGTCGCCCATCCAGCCGGAGAGCGGCAGCACGGGCACCTGGAAGGGGTGAGAGGGGGGGGGGGGGGGGGTCGGCAAACCCCAGGCGTGGGCCCCCCAAGGGGTTCTGGGGTCCAGGCGGGGCTTTAAGAAGGGGGGGGGGGGGGGCACCGCGCGGCCGGTAAAAGGGTGGGGGGGGGCGGGGGGGCCCACCGACTGGGCAACAAAGTCCTTCTTCCAGCCGACCTTGAGAAGCATGTTCTTCATCTCGCCGCCGACCTCGTCGTAGCGCGCCTTGGAGTACGGGCCCGCGGTGTCGGTGTCCATCTTGTTGACGCCGACGAGCAGCTGCTTGACGCCGAACAGGTTGAGGAGGCGCGCGTGCTGGCGGCTCTGGCCCTGCACCTCGCCGGCCTTGTGGTTGCCCTTCTGGATGGCGGTGGTGAAGTTGCCGTCGGCGGGCACCATGAGGAGCGCCACGTCGGCCTGCGCCGCGCCGGAGATCATGTTCTTGATGAAGTCGCGGTGGCCCGGCGCGTCGATGATGGTGTAGTGCCACTTGTCGGTGAAGAACTCCTTGGTGGTGCACGAGATGGTCACGCCGCGCTCGCGCTCCTCCTTTTGGCGGTCCATGTAGAAGGCGAAGGCGAAGGACGACTTGCCCAGGCGGTCCGCCTCGGCCTTGAGCTTCTCCATCTCACGCTCGGGGATACCGCCCATCTCGAAGAGCAGCCGGCCGGTGGTGGTCGACTTGCCGGAGTCGACGTGGCCGCAGATCACGACGGACATGTGGTCCTTCTCAGCCATGGTTGCGGGTAGGGGTGGTGCTTTCTGCGCGGGGGCGGGCGAGGTGTCAGAGGCCGGGGCTCTGCGACACGGCCAGGACGCGCGCAGGCAGACGGAATAGCGCGCGGACGGGGGAGCGATTCGGGACGTGGGGCGGGCAGCCGCGACGGAACGGCGGGAGGCGCGCAGCCCGCGTGCCGGCGGCGCGCCGACCCTGGTGAGGTCTGCGCAGCGCAGGGGACGCAAGTTTTGCGACTCCGCGCTCCCGACCTCCCGTGCCCCGGCGCCCCCCTGGTGCAGGGCGGCGGTCGCCCGCCGGGCGCGCGGTCGGCGAGCGGCGCGTCCCCGCCGACCTGCCCGCCTCGCCGCGCCGCGCGGCTGCGGCGCTGTGGGCTTTGTGGGCGTGCGTCTGCGTCACCTTGGTTGCTACGTCGTGGCTCGACAAGTGTTTTTCTTTTCCTCTTTCTCCTTGGAAACGAGGACAAAACTGATTCCATTCGCACCCCACATGAGTCTTGCCGGGACACACTCGTCGACTTGTTGAGGGCTATTATCTGTCCTCGGGAGGGCGGCGGCGGCGGCGTAGAGTCGGCGGCGAGCTCTCCCGATGAGCGATGACAAATAGTCTCTCTCTCTCAAATAGTCGCCTCACAGCTTGGGTCACGTCTGCTTTCCGTGTCTCTGTATCGAGCGAGAGCGGCGCGACGACAACAAACCCTAACCCTAACGACCCCCTAATCCCCTAACCCTAACGCAACCCTTGCTTTTTCCAGAAGGCCGGAAGCAAGCAAGATGCAAGTGCGGCTCTTCGATCCTTCAGTGTGTTTACACCTGTGCCCCTGATCGTCCTTCCAAAATCCTGCTCGTGCAGGTGGGAGGTGGGACCCTGGAGCGGCCGTGCTCTACCTCGGATTCCGGCCCCTCGTTGGGACCGGTCATTTCATATTGGACCGGTCACTTGACCGGTCATTTCCCGACGCCACGTGGTCGAAGCGGTCGTTTTCCGAAAGACGCCCAGGGGGGATCAGCCTTATCCCCCCCAAACCGGTCATTTCCCGACGCCACGTGGTCGTGCGGTCATCTCCCGATTTACGGGTAGTTTGGAGCGGTCGTTTTGGGCGCCCTCGTGGACAGCAACAACGGGTTCAAAGAGACGCCCTTTGTGTGCGTGCTGACCCCAGCTGGCACCTGCATGGTGTCTGGGCGTCTCCCTCCGCAATGCCGGCTGGCTGAGTCGGCGCCGCACAATCCTGGGCTCTCTCTATAAAATGCTCTCGGCCAAATACCAGCGCGACGCGAGCGATAGCTGCCTGGACGTCTGCTCAGTAGCTTTACCAGAGAGTGTGCGTGTTGTACATAAACACCGTTAGACGATTGTTCTGTTGAAGGAAGGAAAAATCGGCGGATACAGGTACACGAACTCGAGTGTGGACCCACCAGGCCCCGCTCTCGCTACCGCACTCGCTCGTACCACGGAGCTCAGCGAAGATCAACGGCCGAGGTCGCACCGCGCGCCTCCGACGCGAGGAGCTCGGCCTTGGCGCGAGTCTGCAGCGACTGGAAGCGAGCCACGACCGCCCAGAGCGAGTTGGCGAGCACCGGCCGCGACTTGCCCTCGTCGGTGATGTCCTTCGCGATAGACATGAGCCAGCGCATCTCCTTGTTGACCAGCTCCCGCTCCTTGTCGCGCGGCTGATATCCCTTGCGCTGCGACACACGCACGTACGTGATGTCGCTCTTGGCGATTGCGAGGGCCTTCTCGAGCTCGACCTTCTCGCGCTCCATCGCGTGGGCCTTGGCGAGCATGCCTCCCTGCTCCTCGCTCATCGCCTGAATGTGCGCCTCGGCCGCGCCCGTCCGCGCCCGGGCCGCGTCCACCTGCGTGGAAATCGACTGGCAGCGCGCCTGCGCAACGTTGACGTCGAATAGCGCGGTGTCCCGCTCAGAGATGAGCGCGTCCTTTTGCTTCTCGTACTCTGACTTCATGGTGGACTTTTCCTGAAAACGGCAGAGGAAACGTGTGATGAGATGAGAGCAGGCGCCGTGATTGTGCTGGCGTCGCACCATCTCGTAAACAGAAAGGAGCGAATCGAACGCGGACATCCCACCCTCATTCGAGTTCAGAGCTGACACCACGTCCTGAGGCACAGTCGGGATTGTCAGCAATGAGAGCGCACGCGACATCGTGCTATGAAGGCGGGCGGACCTCAAACAGGGCGGCCTTGTCGGCAGTGCCGGCATCGCTTGAGTCGTCCTCGCACGATGCCTTGCGCTTGCGGCTTGCGGCGGGCGGGGTGACGGGGTCAGCACCCATAGCGACAACCGAGACGACTGCCGGGGAAGGCGCAGCAGTGGCCGTGTCATTCGCGACCTCCGTGCCCGAGGGCGGCGCCTTGGTCTCGGGAGGCGCGGAGGACGAGAGAACACTCGGAGCAGCAGCACAGGACTTCGACGCCGGAACCATCATGGGAGACGTGTTGGGCACGGGGACGCCGGTATGTAAAACTTAAATCGGAAAACGACCGCTTCGCGTCGGCAAATGACCAAAATTCACCGCTCCGAACGCTAAATGACCGACCGCGCTCCCGACCTCCCGTGCCCCGGGCGCCCCCCCGGTGCAGGGCGGCGGTCGCCCGCCGGGCGCGCGGTCGGCGAGCGGCGCGTCCCCGCCGACCTGCCCGCCTCGCCGCGCCGCGCGGCTGCGGCGCTGTGGGCTTTGTGGGCGTGCGTCTGCGTCACCTTGGTTGCTACGTCGTGGCTCGACAAGTGTTTTTCTTTTCCTCTTTCTCCTTGGAAACGAGGACAAAACTGATTCCAATCGCACCCCACATGAATTTTATCAAAACCGGGACACACTCGTCGACTTGTTGAGAGCTATTATCTGTCCTCGGGAGGGCGGCGGCGGCGGCGTAGAGTCGGCGGCGAGCTCTCCCGATGAGCGATGACAATTGACAAATAGAGAGAAGCATCTAAAAATCTCTCTCCCAAATACTCGAGTAGTCTCCTCTCAAATAGTCGCCTCACAGCTTGGGTCACGTCTGCTTTTCCGTGTCTCTGTATCGAGCGAGAGCGGCGCGACGACACAAAGCCCAGCTGGTCGAGCCTGTGTCTGCGACAGAGAGTTGTTTGCGGTGCCGGCGCCGACTACAAGCTCCATGAGCGAGTACGCCTCCGCCGACCACGCGCAGGAGGTGACACGCGACCTCTCCGCGCGGCAGGAGGAGAGCGCGCAGCGCGTCCGGCAAGAGCGAATCGGCGCGGCGTGCCTGAAGCGCACGCGTGCATTCGGGAAGCTCATTCTCTTCGGCGAGCACTTTGTGGTGTACAAGGCGCCCGCGCTGGTCGGCGCAGTCGCCGCGTACACGGATTGCGACGTCGAGTTCACCGGCGCGCCGGGCATCGAGGTGGTTGATCTGCGGCCGGCGGTGCCGGGCTACAAGGTTGAGAAGGCCGCCGAGGGAGAGGAGGCGGTCAAGATTGTGCTGTCGCACCTCGGCGTCGACACGGAGAAGCGCGGCGCGAAGATCACCTTTGGAGGAAGCCTCACCGCCGTCTCTGGCATCGGCGCGTCGGCGGCGCAGGTGGTGTCACTCGCCCGCGCGCTCAGTGCGGCGCTGCCGCGCACGCTGAGCGAGGAGGAGGTCAACGCCGCAGGGTGCGCGGGCGAGATGCGACCGCCGTAATCGCCGTAACCGCCAAAGGGATAGATCTTACCAAGCCGCACAGCCGCGTCGGGGGAGGTGCCCGAGATTAGGCGAGCTTACCCGAGATCGCCCGTAGGTACGAGGGCGAGAAGGGGTACCACGGCACGCCGTCGGGGGTGGACAACACGGCGGCCACGTACGGCGGCGTGCTGCGCTTCCAGCGTACGGACGGCGCGCCGCGTTTCGCGGCGAAGGAGCTCGCTGAGTTGGTTCCTCACAGCTAGCCGTGTATGAGTCAGGCGCGCCGCTCTTCACGATGAAGAAGCTCGCCGGCCCGATCCGCATCGTGTACGCCTCCACGGGCATCACCGCCTCGACGACCAAGGCGAGAGATCGTCCGAGATGTCGCCAAGCTCGTCAGAACTGCACGCTCCGCCGTCGAACGGCGCGGTTCTCTCCTCCGCCCCGCAGGTGGTTGGCGACGTCAAGGCCAAGAAGGAGGCGGACGAGGCGTGGTTCGGCAGCCTGCTTGCGAGGAGAGTGGCGCTCGCGGCTGGCGGCGAGGCTCTGCCTGCGGGGAGCCTGTTCGCCCCCACTTCTGTAGGTACACGGCGCTCGCGGCAGAGGGCGAGGCGGCGCTGGACGCGGGCGACATGGCGGCGCTCGGCAGGCTGCTCGACGAGAACCACGCGCTGTGCCAAGAGCTGACGGTGAGCTGCAAGGAGCTCGACGACCTCGTGGTTGCGGCGCGCGGCGCGGGGGCGGTTGGCGCCAAGATGAGCGGCACCGGCCGCGGCGGGCTAATGCTCGCCCTCACGCCGACGGCCGAGTCGCAGGCGGCGGTGGCCAAGGCGCTGGAGAAGCTTGCGCCGCAGGTGTGGATGACCACCTTTGCATGAGAGCAGTCCATGAGACGGCATGTGTCATGACCACTGCGCATGGGGGCTGGCAACGCGAAATCTGCGAAGGAGACACTCCTCAAAACGGTCTGCGCGATATACAGCCGACGCGCGTACATCGTACACATGCATCATGCATGCCCCTGTCTGTCATGTTCGGCTTAGTGAAACTAAAAAAGAAAAGTGTCCGCCCAAGCCCCAACTGCAACTCCTCTCCATTGTGAAGCGCCAGCCAAGAGTGCGTGCAGTGACGACTTGCGCGCAAGTCCCCCCAAAGTGACCGAACACTAGACCCCTACGTATATGCGCCTCGAATTATGTGTCAACGTATCACGTATGTCACCATCTCACTAAAGACTAACTCAGCAACAGCCAACACTTCTACGCACGGTAAAGTCGTGTGTACGCCTGCTATTCAGTCATCCTCTACCGGCGCCCCTCTCGCGCCGCCGCCTGGCCACGCACCGTGCTCGTAGTCGAGGAAGCAGCGCTCGAGGCACAAGCCATGCGGCGGAGCCTTGACGACAAGCGAGCCGTGACGGCCCTTGCGCCCCCTCTCCGCCAACAGCTCTCCGACGCCAGCGACGCTCAGCTTGCCCAGCCCAACCTACAACCTCGGCCAGCCGCAGGGTCAGCTCGTCCAGGCCCCGACCGGGGCCGGCGAGCCACGCCGCCGCCGCCTGGACGAGCGTGCCGCTCAGCAGCCGCATCATGTTGTACAGGAAGCGGTCGCTCTCTGCGGTGATGATCACGACGCCTCCGCCGCCGTCGCCGCCGTCGTCCTTGTCGCGTTCCGCGGGGAGCCGTCGGACCTGCGAGCATGTCCACATGAGCATGTCCACGCCCTCTGCTCACCCCACGCCCTCTGCTCACCCCACGCCCTCTGCTCACCCCACGCCCTCCGCTCGCCCCACGCCCTCTACTCAGGGCAAGCTCCTCTGCCCCCGCTGCCGCCACTGCGCGCGTCACGCCTCGCCTCAAGAACCCGCGGCTGCACTGGCTGCTGCTGCTGCTGCTGCTGCTGCTGTTGCTGCTGCTGCTGTTGCTGCGGTGGGGTGCGGCATAGGGCGTGTTTGTCAGGGCTGGGTGTGGCGGTGGGGTGTAGCGGTAAGGGGAGAGTCGCGCCTCGAGCCGCCGCATCACCTTTGTGGGCGGCCGCGGGTCGTCTGGCCGCCGGACGCCAAAGGCGGAAAAGTCGTGCCTGAGGAAGGCTCCGAGAAGGTTCTCAGCGGGCGCGGCGCCACCGCCTCCTCGCTGCAGCCGGGCTACACCAGCTAGACCTCGGCAGCCTCTCGCCTGGCTCAGTAGGCGGGGTGATCTCGCCTCCATCTCGCCTCCATCTCGCCTCCATCTCGCCTCCATCTCGCCTCCATCTCGGCTGCATCTCGCCTCCATCTCGCCTCCATCTCGCCTCCATCTCGCCTCCATCTCGCCTCCATCTCGCCTCCATCTCGCCTCCATCTCGGCTGCATCTCGCCTCCCGGTGAGGAGAGCCGCCGCCTCCCCCATCAGCGCCACGTCGAGCCGCCTGCCGCGCCCGAGCACCCACCGGTACCGCGCGCCGAAGGGCGACCCGATCCCCTCCTCAACCGTGTAGACGTACCTGTGGGGGACACGTCTCGGACATGTCATGGACGTGTCCTGGACAGGCCTGCCCTCCTCCGCGGTGCAGCCGCGCCGCTTGCCGACGCACGAGTCGCGCGCGTGGAAGCCCGCCTGCTCACGCCTCGAGCCGTGAAGAGAGGCTGCTCGCACCTTCGCGCGAGCCGCGCCTCGTGCAAGCTTTGGCGGAATCTCGGCTGCGTCTCGCCTGCATCTCGGCTGCATCTCGGCTGCATCTCCTCTCGGCTGCATCTCGCCGGCGCGACGCACACGCTCCGCACGAGCACGTCGGGCGGCATGCCGGAGCGCGGCCCGCTCAGGACCCGCTCGAGCACGGACGCCACCGCCGCGTCGTCTGCTGCGGAGAGCGCGGCGGCCAGTTGGACGTGCGCCACTCTCGTGCCGCCGCCCTCGCCGCCCTCGCCGCCCTCGCCGCCCTCGCCGACACTCTCCTGGGCAGGGGTCTCGAAGTGGAAGACCTGAGCACGGAGGGCGGCGGGCACGGCTCACGGCTCAGAGCGGGAGAGGCACGGGCGGCAGGAGGAGGGAGCGGTGGACAGGCCAGACGCGGGCTGAGCGGCATCGCGACCTGGTCCCGCGCGTGCACGCCCTTGTCCGTGCGGCCACTGCCGGCGACGTAGACGCGGCCGCCGAGCAGCGACGAGAGGCGCGCCTCGAGGACGTCCTGGACGCCGCGGCCGCTCGGCTGTGTCTGCCACCCGACATACTCTGTGCCGTCGTACTGAACGCGGCCGACGAAGCGTGTGGTCTGCCGCGGCTGCCGCTCCTGCGCCTCACGGTCGTAAGGCCTGCGAGCCGCGCGAAACGTGGTCGCAGTGGCCATGCACCGGCGACCGCGGTGCAAGAACACTCTCGTCTCGAGCAGCGTCCGTCTCGCCGCCGCCGGGCCGCCTCGCACCGACAGATGTCGTTTTTTCTTTTGAAATTCCCGTCTGCTCTCTCTCTCTCTCTCTCAGTGTGTATGTGGCTCTTACGAACATACCCCAAGGGGACTGCTGGCCGTTTGCGATGACAGAGAGAGAGACTCTTTCTCTTGGGGTGTAAGTGCAAACAACAAACAACATCGGCTGCAAGGCGATGCGATGTTACACAAAGTTTGTCTGCAAGGCGCGCGGGCAGCCCGGCCAACCCTTCGCGATCTTCGACTTCTTCGAACGCAACAACTTCAAGAGAGAGATTTTAGAAAACCAGCAAGAAATCACGACTGTCACAGTGTCAGTGATTTGGGCTCGGCAGCTTGTCAGCCCTCAGGCTCAGCCGAAGCTGGGGCCGGTCCCGTAGCCGAGAGAGCCCGCGCCGTGAGTTCGACGCGGTCGGGGGGCCTGCGGAGAGGCCAGCGAGGTGGCGATCGCTGTACTTCATGGTCGTCATTAAGTGACCGGCTGACAAGCCAGAGGTCGATACTCTGGACTGGACGACCCATAGGATGCCACGAATGCCTGGAGGAGAGGGAGGCGAGGCCAGAGGCAGACTCAGCTGCTCTCGGGTGATCTCGCTTTGGTGGCCGAAGGACCCGATGGTCCTGTCACATTCGCGTTCCGAGTCGTGGGGGTAGAAGAATTCGAGTAGAAATCGAGTCAGCACTTCCTTGTAGTACAGCGGACCGCCAGGCTATCAGGCTCGCCGGCAGCATCCGCAGGGAGGCAGCATATGAGGCACCAGTTTTCTGGAGAGCTCGACAGCTGCAGCCGCGATGGCGGAGTCGGCCGCGGTTCGAGCGAGCAGCTTTTGGCTGCGGGATCGAATCGCGGAAGGCTCATGCGGAAAAGGCTCATGCCCTCGCGGAGCGACGCGGGTCGCGCGGCGCGCGCGTGTGCGAAATGCGACAACAGACGACAGATGACAGGCGCCTGAGCGCTGTACGCCTGAACTTTTGTCGCCGCAATCGCCACCGCCGCCATCTTGACGAGCAGCGCGAGCGCGCTCGTCGGCGGCCAGCCGTCGCGGGCCGGGCCGAGCCCGGCCTCAACCGGCCGCGCCGCCGCAGCAGGCCCGGAGGCCCATGGCGGCCGACCAGCTGATAAGGACCTTTTCTCTCTTCAACCTGCTGCTCCACGAGACGTTCAGCGGCGGCTTCTCGCCCACCGCCGTTCTCAAGCTGCGCCGCCTCGCGCGCAAAGTCGCGCGCGGCAGCGTCGACCGCACGGCCTACTCGCCCAAGTACTCGGCTACTCGCTCTCTTTTATGTCCCACCATGCAGAGCGCATCTCTCTCTCTGTTGTGCGAGGCGTGAACCGCGCCATTCGCTCTCACCTGGCAACCCTGTCTGCACGTCTCGCGCGCGCGTGAACAGGGCCTCGAGCGTGTTGGCGGAGAGCGGTGTGAGGAAGGGCATCGTCTCTGTGATGCCTCTGCTCTCTGGTCTGTCTCGTGTCGTTTGAAAGCCAGATGCTCGTTTTTTTTTCCAGTCCGAGCCTGGCTGTTCTTGAGTTGTTGCTGTTCTTCACCTTCCTACCAAACCTAACCTCGCGAATAGTTCTTCACGTGCACCGAGCAAGCCCAACGATTCCGCAGGGTGTGTTCACGCAACACTCTATAATTTATTGATTGATGATTTTATACACATTTTGAGTGTTAGAGTTGTTTTTTGATTTTATATAGCTGGTAGCAAACAAACGATGCCTCGCGCCAACGCGCCGACAGTGCGCAGACGAGAGAATTAAATAAAAATAAATAAAACGGACACACCAAACAACAAACAAACGTCGACACTGACTGCGTCACGAACACCTCGCAGCTCCGCCTCAAACTCGTCCAACGGATTGCCTGCGCAAAGACCAAGTACATTGCCGGCATCACGCCGCCCAATGTCGCGTGCGACGCTCTCGAGTTTGCGCACAACCGCATCCGCAAGTCCTTTGAGAGCATTGCTCGCGCCGACGCCTCGCCCCAGGCGCTCCGCGACCTCGCGTGGCTCCAGGCGCAGCTGCCGACCGAGATGGGCGGGTGCAACATCGACACCGCCTTCACGCGAGCCGACAGCGACTTCTCCATGTCGCTCCTCAAGAACTGGCGCACCCTCGTCGCCCACAACCCCGACTTCGCCCTCGACGAGGGAGGTGCGTCCAAGTACCCCACCATCGCCGCAGCCATCGCCACCTACGAGTCCGCCCTCTCGGACTGGAAGGAGGTGTGTGAGAAGCGCGCCGCCCGCGACAAAACCAAGTACCACACCGTCCGCGGCGGCTACCTGACTGAGTTCTACCCCAAGAGCGTCCCGCTCCCCGAGCCCGAGTCCCTTCCAGCTACCGACGCGATTCTCAATGGCACTTGCAAATCCACGTACCCGCGGCCGCGGGCGCTCGCTGCCATCAAGAATCACAAGGACTGGTCCGCGCACCAGGAGCTCGTCAAGGCGCGGGACGTGCACGTCAAGAACAACCCGTCCCTCGGAGACAGCGCCGTCAACAACCGCGAAGCCTCGCGCTTCGTCTCCGCCTCAACGCCTTTCGCCGGCAAAGCCCTCGATGTCCGTGTCGACGGCACGTACGCCACCGCCCTCTCCTCCGACGCCCTCCAGGAAGCTCCAGCGGAAGCTCGGCCTTTGGCTCTCCGTGGCGGGCTTCCCACCCTTCGGGTCGCGCTCGAGCGGGGCATGCCAGTCGATTTCTTCGGCGACTACCTTTACAACAAGGCCCACCACCGGCGGCCCCACGACGGCGTCCTCGCCGCCTGGGCGGACGCGATGCGCGCCCCGGCCAACGCGCCGGTCGTGCACGGTGACAAGGAGAAACCAGAGCTCACCCGGCAGTACATCAACGAGGGGTACAAGGTCGACCTCGCGGAACCCCACGCTGGCCCGGGAGGATGCGATGAGGTGAATGAAGTCAAGCTCTCGACGCCCCTCCTCAAGACCTCCTCGGCGGGCGTTGGCAACGCCTCGAGCGGCGGCACGCCCGCCTCCGTTGGCCACTCCTACGCCTTCGGCAACACCGAAGAGAAGGCCCGCCGCCTAAACATGGGCTGCAAGGCGCGCGGGCAACCCGGCCAACCCTTCGACCACAAGAACGGCCACGGCTACGTCAAGGCGCATCGCGGTTTCTACCACGACGCGATCTTTGTCAAGCGCAACAACTTCAACCTGCTGCTCCACGAACGAGACGTTCGGCGGCGGCTTCTCGCCCACCGCCGTTCTCAAGCTGCGCCGCCTCGCGCGCAAAGCCGCGCGCGGCAGCGTCGACCGCACGGCCTACTCGCCCAAGTACTCGCTCTCTTTTATGTCCCACCATGCAGAGCGCATCTCTCTCTCTGTTGTGCGAGGCGTGAACCGCGCCATTCGCTCTCACCTGGCAACCCTGTCTGCACGTCTCGCGCGCGCGTGAACAGGGCTCCAGGCCCCAAATGACGTGTGAGTGTTAGAGTTGTTGGTATTACTAAAAATCCACACTAAGTGCACCACTAACTAACCGCTCTGCAACAGCACTGCGCCTCATCAGCGGGCTCCTGCTTTACCCATTCTTTTCAATCGTGGGATCGCTTGTCATGTGAGAGAGTGTTGTAAAATACTTTTCTGCTCCGGGACTTGGAAAGTTCTCTGCATCCCGACGCCAAAGCACAGCGTGTGTGCGCGCGTGTGTGTGTGTGTATGCTGCTCGCTGCCGCAATCCCGCTTGGTCTGAGCCTCTCGCCGCCCGCCACCTCCGCCTCGGCGCTCTCCACGCGTGACGCGTGCCTCCTGTTTGGAGCCCTCGCCGAGCCGCTGGTCCACCTCGACCCGGAGGTCGGCGCATGCTGTCACTCTGCGTGCAGCGACTGCGAGTGGCGGCTGCCCGACGGTGGATACCGGTTCGATGTCCTCAAGGCGACCAAGCCAAAGTGGGTCCCGTGCTATCTCCGCCGCGACTTTGGCGACGAGCGTGGCTGCCACGAGCCTCGCTGGGCCTCGGCGCTCTTCCCGGGCGGAGGCGAGGTAACGCGGGCGCAGTTTGGCGAGGCGCTCGCCGGCCTCGGCTTTGAGATGCCGATGGGCCCGCGAGGCAGCGTGGGCGCCGACGGCGGCATGCCCGAGAGCGCGGCCGATGCGCTCTGGGCGTGGCTGGCTGGCGATGGCGACGCGCTCACGCCAGAGGGCGCACGAACGCGGCTGCAGGCAATGGCCGAGGACCCCCAGGCCGAGGGCGCCGTCGGTGAGGGCCCCGACCACCTCGTGTGGAAGGAGTTTGCAAAGGACGCGGCACGCGGGGGGCGCTGGTCCCGCCGCACCTCCCCGAGACACCGTGCGGGCTGATGTGGATAGGCGCTCGGCGCCAAGCCCTTCGAGATGATCGTATGAGCGCCGCCGCGATCGCACAGCGCCGATTCGCCTTGCCCGTATCCCACAACACAGGCCTACGCTTCGGCCTCGGAAGTCGGACGCTGCGCGAGCGTTGCTCTCGTCTCCTCCTTCTAGTTATGTGTAGTATAAGAGCGAGAAGGTTGCGCACGACACCACAGAGAGAGTGTTTTTGCGTTTCCGTCAAAGTAATGTTTTGCGTTTTTCGAAAAGTCGTTATGCGGCTTGTGTCGTGTTCCCGGGCATTCACACTATATTTCGGAGATAATTGGGCGATTATATCCATAACCGGATTTCATCCCTTTCGTTTGGTTTGCCTCTAACGGTTTGGAGATTCGTGTTACGTGTTTCCAGTCCCGTGCCCAGTGTTGTGAGAAGGAGTTTTGTTGTAAATTTCCGTTTCCGTAAAGGGTGTGGATGGTGGGTTGACGGAAAATTGAAGGACACGACCCACTTCGCCACAGACAGTCCCGCGCCTCGCGCCGCTAAGACGGCTACACGACCGCGGCTCGTGTGCATGTAGCCGTCTTTGTCCGGAGTGAATACCACCACGCGCTCGTCGGTGACGGTGTCCTTCGATTTCGCCGCGCTCGGCGAACCTCGACAGCGCCCCTTCGGTGGCATGCATGCTGCTGTACGGCCCCGGCATCGCCTTCCCAGGCTTAGCTAGACTGAGAGATATTGTGGACATGGTTGGTCTCTACAATATACTCACTGACACTGAACCTCCCAGAGCTCGTCCCGGTCCGTCACGGCCATCCTCGGCCTCCGGAGGGCCCCCGGCCTCCGTAAGGGTAAAACGTATACAGCACTCTCTGACGCGATGCGGCCTCTGCCTAGCCTCCTGCTCCTTTGCGGGAGCTATGGCGGGACCGCTATCGAGTATGGCTTATCCTCCGGCCAGCACGGCCTCGACTATTGCATCGCCGAGGCCGACACCACCATCGACACGACAGCGTCGACCACCATGGCAGCTCCAACGTGTGCGCTGCCATGGACAAACCGTGCACTCTATATGCCAGCCACCACCTGGGCGCCCGGCATGTGCGAGCACAACCCCAATCGAGCCGAAAGATCTCTGAACAATGGGTCCAGTCGGTCTCTTCGAGCACGTTTTCGAGCCTACCGTTTGCGTCGACAATCCATTTCTGAAAGTTTTGTCGATAAACTTTGAACTTTGGCCAGAACACTCCGAGGACATGTGTGCCTCGCCCCACACGACCTCTCAGGCTATGGAGCACTGTGGAGGTGATCAGGGTGGTCTGACCGGGTGGTATCGCCCCGGTCTCGGCCCTCTGTAGCATCGTGAGGCGTCCCTCGTCTCTCGCTCGAGAGATGGTCATCTGAACCCGAATCATCGGTGCCCAGCACGTGTATGTTGAGTCGTACGCGGTCCTGCGGCTTGGTCGCGGGAGATAGATTGCCCGCAGTGCCACGTGCCTCCTCAGCCGAGGAAGACATATTTGTAGAAAGTATTCAAAGTACGAAGGTGTGGTGTCACACCGGTGGGGGGGAAAGACGCCAGCTGCGCCGAGTTGTGGTGTCACAACAGTAGAGAGGTCGACTGTCTCGCGGCGCGGCGGCCCCACGAGAAGCAGTCAGAGACTATTACGTGCCAATATTTGGGCGCCTATTAGGCGCCCAAAGTGCTAATATTGGTGATCTAAGTGGCAAGACGTGCCACCACACGGGGTATGGGAATATAGAGATATGTGAGTACGATGGACTAGCTGTCACTCTGGGGTGGGGAAGGGAGAATAATAGGTGAAGCCTCTCGATACAGGTCAGGCTGTTGGTGCTCGTGAGGGTATTCGTGCCTCACCTCCTGCGACACAAACATGACCATTCCCCCGGGGAGGGGCGCGGCACTGAGTGGTAGCTGTAGAGCGTGGCACTGCGTAGCAGCTGCGGTTGATCTGGGAGCATCTCGCAATCTCATGCCAGACGAATGCGCGACGAATCCATCCACACGAGCACAGCCTGGCGGCAGATGGGGCACTGCTCCATCTTGGCGGAGCACTCGGCGCACGCGCACTGATGCCCGCAAGGGATGGCGACGTGATCCTTCGGCCGAGTGAAGCATACTATGCACGTGGTCTCGCCGCCCAGGGTGGACTCGGGGACTGCTGCGCGACCCGTGTCGAACCCGGCGTCGGCTAGTGAGAGCGTCGCAACGGGTTGCTCCTCAGCCGGCAAAGGGTCGCCGGGCGGCCCGGTAGGCTTGTCCCGCTTGTAAAGGCCCCAGGTCCTAGGAGTGTACCTGGATCGGCGACGTCGCTTGCATGGCGGCAGGTCGCATGGGACGGCGGGGTTGAGACCGGACGGCGGCTCGGCCGGTGGAGAAGCGAGCAACGGAGTCGATGGCGGAAAGCTCATAGAACCGGCAGCTTGCGAACCGGCAGTGGAGCTACAGTCGAACGCGTCGAGCGAGGTAGCAGCGGCAGCGGCTTCGGTCGTGGCGCCATTCGCTATCAGCGGCGAAGCGAGAGAGGCATCGACAGCTGGAACTCCAGGACCATCACCACCGGTTTCGGTTTGCGACGGTTCAGCCTTGCGGGAATGCCGAGCAGGTCTGGGCCCCCGCCTTCTATTCCGTCGCCTCGTGGATGAAATGCCAGCGAGATCTGGAGGAGTCACGGCCGTGGCGTCACCCGCAATCGGCGGAGAGGCGAGCGAGACGGGTGGAAGGCTTGGCGGCGAAGAAGTTGCCACAGGAAGGCCCACGGCTGCCTCCGCGCCATTCGACATAGCTTCGCCCTCAAGACGCGAGAGCGCTGCAGCCAGCAGCTGCTTGTCGAGCTCCGTAGCAGTCTCGGCTTGCAGCCTCGCCGAGATCGCGTCCTTCAAGTTCATCACGTGACTCAAGCCCATCAGCGCCACGAACTCTTCTGGTGCCACCTGCAGTCCTTGCCCGCTGTGCGTGTCGCCATTCCCGTCCTCGGCGATCGCCGGCAAGGAAGGGTGACGCTGCACTGGGCGTTGCCGGCGGTAGCTCGGGCGTCGCTCCGGTCCGAAGCGGCTCGGTTGTCGGGACCCGGGGCGACGCCGCATCGGGAGTCAGTGCACGCGGCTGTGACGTGGGCACCTCCACGGCCACGGCGCCAGCGTCGTCACTGTCCCGAACGGCATTGAGCTCGGCATGGAGTCGCTCGAGCTCCGCTCGTGCCCGTACGAGCTCGTCACTCGGGGAGGACGTCAGAGATCCCCCCTCCTGGTCCCGGACGCTGGAGGACAGCGGCGGGTTCGGAGAGATCGAGCTCCCCGGTTGAGCAGCGGCAACGGCGTCGAAAGCTGCCTCCGCTGCTTGCTCTTCGACGGAGAGCGCCAGGCGTGTGCGCGCCAATTCGAGGATCTCCAAAGAATGCTCGTCGACACCCGCTTGCCGGGCCTGCGCTAGCAACTGAGCAAACCGGGAGACCGGGTCAAACGTCGGCGCGTCGTCCTCTTGGACAGGCAGAGCCGCGTCAGCGGTAGCGGTGGCACCAAACGGGACATACACCTCCGAGTTGTTGGCGGCCGACGCCACACCGGCCTCGGACGGCGAGGGAAATTCCACCGCCGCCGGGTGCTGAGCCGAGCGTAGTGCACCGGCCAGCTCTTGGAACCCACCGGCAAGGCTGGCCTGAAGCATGGTTCCAAACGTCTGGAACCCTTGAGTGAGGTTGGCGTTCATCTGCTCAAATCCCTGCTGCACCTCTGCATTGTGCTCCTCCGCCTGCCGACCAAGCGCCGCCGTCGCTCGGCTCTGCTCCACAATCGCCTGACGCTAGATTCGTGTTTCCGTTTCCGTTTTGGGTAAAACGTATACACAGCACTCTCTGTGCACTGTGGCGACGCTGCAACGGCGACGCTGGCAGCGGCGGCGACGCTGCTGCGATGGGGTACTGTAGCCCTTAGCTGCTGGACAGCACCTTGTGCAGTGGCAATGTCCACTGACTCATGGCACCAGCCTGTGCCATGAGCGCTGTGGTCAGTTGCGCTTTTGTGCGCCGGCGACGCTGCAGCGGCGACGACGCTGCAGCGGCGACGCTGCTGCATGGGGTGTGCTGTAGCCTTAGGTGCTGCGCCTGCACAGCACCTTGTTTGTGCAGTGGCAATGACTCCTGGCACTAGTGAGCTTGATGTCCTCAAATGTCCACAGAGTATACTGGTTGTGCTCACAGGTTGTGCCACATCAACAGGGGTGCAACTTTGAGAGGCTGCAACTAAGAGGGATGAAACAGCTTTGCAGCTGGAGCCCAAGTTTTGTTATGGGCTGCAACTGCATCCTGCCACCTTGGATACCTCGACACCTTAGACGCTAAACACCTTGACAACACTCGACACCCGCTCGACACGCTCGACACCCTCGTGCCTCGACACCCTCGACACCACTCCTCGACACCTCGACACGGACAAGCATGGTCCCAGCCTAGACAGGCCTCGACAGGCCTCGACAGGCCTCGACAGGCCTCGACAGGCCTCGACAGGCCTCGACACCTCTATCCCTCGACAGCAGCTCGACACCCTCGACACCGGGCCTCGACACCTCGACACCAGGGCTCAGGTCGGAAGCATGGAGTAACACCAGCGGTCCGTCGAGCGTCGACGCGAGCTATTCGCGTCTCGGATCTCGGTGAATGCTCTGTTACGGAGGCTCCGAGTTCTTCGGGTTAGGGTTAGGGTTAGGGTTAGGGTTTGTTGTCGTCGCGCCGCTCTCGCTCGCGATATTCTGTCTGGCTAAGTAAGACAGAGAGAGACACGGAAAGCAAGAGAGAAGAGGGCAGGGGAGACACAACCCCGTGTGTGGGCGCACGCCGCACCGACCGGCGCGCGCACACTCCCGCGCAATCTCACACCACAGCAGTACACGGGTACAGGTATGGACGTATGGTACTGGCTCGGGCTGGTCGAGCCAGTAGCAGTACCATCTACCCAGGAACCCAAGTCCCAGCGACGGCTGAGCACACATTTTATAAATAGGATCCAAGACCCAAGCGTCCATCGCGCATCGGACGCGCCTCTTTTATTTTGTGAGAGGGGGCCGAGAGAGAGGGAGGCGGGAGTTTCCTGCGGGAAGCCTCTCGCTCCCGCCCCTCCCCTCGCCTCCCCTGCTCGCCTCGCCCCCATGCAGAGCCAGGGCAGAGGAGGGAGGCGCCGTGTCAGATGCCCATCCCGCCCGTCACCTCGAGGGTGTGGCCAGTCACATAAGACGCGTGCGGCGACGCCAAAAAGAGGATGCCGCCCGCCGCCTCCTCCGGCCGCCCCTTCCGGTTGAGAGGCACCATCGCCCGCAGCAGCGGGCCGCCCTCCCACATCTTGGCCACCTCGGGAGGCAGCCCCTGCTGCACCGCCTGCCCGCCGACCTCGACCGCCTGCGGGCGCGTCGCGGACGCGTCACGGACGGCTCCCGGCCTGCAGGGCCGCGCGAGCCCTCGGCCGCCTCGGAGGCAAAAGCGCTCGTCATCCGCGTCTCGATCATCCCAAAGGCGACCTACGGACCCGCCACGCACACGCGCCCTCCGCCTTGCGCACGCGAGGCTCCGGGAGGGAGGGGCGGCAGGGACCGCGTTGGCGCGGACCCCAAAGGCGCCCCACTCCTTTGCAATCGTCTTTGTGAGGCCGACGATGCCCGCCTGGTGAGCAGGGCGCGAGCCGTGACCTGCGCGCACGGGCCCCGCCCCTGTGCCTCGGAGGGACGCGACCTTTGCCGCCGCGTAGTTTGCCTGGCCGACGTTGCCGTGTAGCCCGGAGGTGGACGAGACGTTGATGATGCAGCGGTCCGAGGGGGCGCCGCCGCCCTCCATCTCCCGCTTCGCCGCGTCGCGCATGTACGGTGCGGCGGCGCGCGCCATCCGGAACGGCGCGCCTGGTCACAGCGAGAGGTGGACGGGGAGGGCGTCGGAGGAGGAGGGTCGGTGCGACGGGAGAGCGCGGCGTTGAAGAGAGAGAGAGAGGTTGAGAGGAGCGAATGCCGGGAGGAGCCATTGAACTGAACGCTGTCGGACGGGTGGACGGGAACGATGAAAGCAGAGGGGGAGCGCCACACCGAGGTGGCAGTCCACGACAGCGCCCCACTGCGAATCGTCCATCTTGTGGAGCACGCCGTCAAAGAGGAAGCCGGCGTTGTTGACGAGGACGTCGACCGGGCCGAATTCAGCCGCCGCGTACGCGAGCAGCGCCTCGGGGAAGTCCGCATCCACCACACTCCCACCGAAACCGACGGCCTCACCGCCTGTCGCTCGGATCTCGGCGGCGGCGCTGTCGGCGACCGCTCCGTCGAGGTCGTTGACGACGACGCGCGCGCCCTCGCGACCAAGCAGACGCGCCGCCGCCGCACCAATGCCGCGGCCAGCGCCGGTGATCACGGCAACCTTGCCCTTTAGCATGGGTCGAAGCCGGTCAGCGCTCTGTGTCGATGGCACAGCCGAAAGAAAAAGAATTTTTCGCCTGGGTTCCTCGCGACGAGAGTGGGAACGGCAGACGGCATACGGCCTAGGGCTCGGCTGGGCGCGCACGCGCACGCGCGCGCGTCGCGCGCCACGCGTCGCTCCGCGAGGGCGCGCGCCAACCGCGATTCGAACCGGGGCCAAAAGGCGCCTGGAGCGACACTCTCGTCGTTCTCTCCCTTGTCACTTCTTCCTCTGTCGCGTCGCTCTCTTCTGCCTCGTCCTGCGACGCCGTCGCCACTTCAGGTCCACTCTCTCTTCGAACACTTGTGCCTCCACGGATGATGCCGGCGCTGGGGTTCCCTTCGGGTGCATCGTGACGGCTGACAACGGGATTTCCACTGGTTCGTCCTCCTCGGAGTCGTCTTCCCCGGCTTCCTTCCGCTCGGCCCTTCGCTCGGTACGTTCGGTGTGGCTCACCCTCCATGCCGTGAACAGGCGCTTTATCCACCCTATATTCTTCTCTCGTTCCTCTGCCCGTGCCCTGGTCTTGTCGTTGTTTCGCACCCATGTCTGTATGGCAATCGAGGCTGCCTTCCCCACTACCTGTAGTTCACTCGTCACCTCCCCCGCGAGCTCCCTTTTCTTTCTTTCGGGTATGGAGTCCGTGAGTGCGGGCAGCGTGCAGGCAATCACGGGCGCTATTTTGTGGTACTCCCCTTCGGCGAGCGCTCCGAATCTAGACCCTATTGCCTTTAGGGAGGCTGCCCTCGCGCGTCTCAGGAATGTGGCGGTGTCTTTTGAGTCCGGCGCCTCCCGTTCGACTCTTGCTGTCGCCCTCGCCGCGTGTTTGTCAAGCTTCCGCATGAAGTGGCGCGCGTCTTCCTTATTTCCAGCGCAGCTGCCGCTCAGTATGTGCGCCAACGACGCCTGTGGTGGCTCACTGTCTTCTTGTTTCCAGTCGTCCCAGTCTCTCAGTTCTCCGATTCTCCTCCTTGCCTCGCGCGCCTCTTTTGTGGCCTCATCCCTAGCCGCCTTGCATGCACGCTCTGCATCCCCAGAACGCACTTCTCGTGGCGGTGCCCCTCATTCCCCGTTTCTTCTCCCCCTCTAGAATACGCCTGTGGTGTGCCCCGTGTGGCGTGTGGCACCCCTAACCTGTTGTCTCACCCTGGCCCCCAAGATCGTTTTGGTCGTCACATTGTGATCCCCGACGTCGTCAAATGTCGCCCGCCTGTCCTTCTCCCCGTTCTCGTCTGGTAATCTCAATATCTCATCTGATTGTCCCATCGACGTTTAAGACTGGCTACAGCCACTTCGCTCCACAACCGTCCCGCCACCCCTGCCGTGTGCGATCCCGGCCTCACCGTCTTTCGATATTGCCCGCACACCCACTCGTGCGGATCTTGGAGCCTAGTAAAAAGAAAGAAAGAAGACAGACAACCCAAGGGAGGGATGGGAGAACGGAACGCCGCCACCACACAGGGATTTTAAGGAGAGGAGTGTGATGCGCTAGCCGTCGCCCACCCTGGGGAGTCTGCCTCTTCGTATCTCTTTTCTTGGAGCCTAGTGTCGTGCGAGGGAGTTTTTGTAAAATTCTTTCTTCGAATTGGCGCGCTTAGTACGTGACCTGACGGAGCACGGGCACTGCGGAGCAACGCGGTTGCAACGCGCTTGCTTCATATATGTGGCGGCGCAGCGGCGGAGCTGTCTTCGCCGTGTGCGCGGTAGTGCAAGCCTCGTTTGGCATGCATCTCTCACTGGCCGCGAGCATCGTCGCTGGCAGTGCGTTTGGCCTCGCCCTCTCCACCGCGTCGACGTCGCTCGCCTCATCGCGGCTCGTACGGTGACGCCCTCATCACGATTCACCTTCGGTGCGTGCACCGCCGCATCGCCCCCAGCACGCCATGCCAGCACCCACTCTCCGGCGGCGGCACCACATCGGCGGCCCTGCGTCGCCGTCTGGGCAAGGCTGGTCCCAAGGCCTTTGTTGGCACTGCACACCGCGGTCTTCGTGGCTTGCACTCGCCCGCCCAGTTGTGCCCGCCCACACTAACGAATGCGTCCCATAGTACCTCCACCGTTGCTCAGTACGGCGGAGGCCTCCGTGGCGCGGACAGCCACCACCACGATTAACCCCGACGCCCAACCATGCCCTCGCCCGCACGCGGCCATAGCCACATCATGACGACACCCTTCGCTCTCTTCCGGTCCCTAGGTCAAATCTGCCCGCATCTTGCTGAAAGTGGCGGCACGCTGCGTGGCAATACACTCCATCCAGCGACACACGATCATCGCACTTGGGAAAGGGGAGGGCGCTCAACGGGAGGCCCGCTCGCTCCGCCTCCCGCGCGGCGGTATGCGTCTGGCGCAAGCCCGCTCGGCACGCTTGCTCGTGACGGCCCGGCGATCCTGATCTGCCACAAAATCCCTCTCTCCCAGCGAGTCTCAAAAGAGTTCCGCTCAGCGTGCTGTGCCTCACCACATCTCTCTGTGTCTCTTGTCTGACTCTGATATCTCTCTAGGATTCCAGATCCAGCATCCACTCTCTCTGTGGTTGACTCTCCGTCTCTCCCAACCCAGAGTGTGAGCTGTGTCTCTTGGTCGCGTGCTGGGTTGGCTTGTTTTTTGGAGGAGAAGAGACTTGACTCTATTGACGACAAATGACGCCTGTACTAGACTCACACCGCGAAGGCAGCCCTGTCAGAGCGGGGGGCGGGCGCCGTGACCGCCGCCGCCGTAAAGCGACACGCGCGCAGGGCTGCTAATAGATCAGCACAAGGGAGGAGAGCCAGATACATCTAGCGGCAGAGGGAGCCGAGCGGCGAGTCGCCCAGAGCGAACACCAGGCTGTTGAGCGCTTCGAGGGTGCAACTGTCGAGCTCGGCGACCGCCTTTGCGAGGGCCGCTTCGAAGCCGCCGTGCGCCGTGAGGAAGGTTGGGACGACGCCGAGCAGGTCGCCGATCGCGGCAAAAAAGCCTGGGCACTCCTCCGACTCACTGCGCGTGTCCACGAACGACGACATCATTTTCTCGGCCGTGTCTGTGACGGTGGCGTGAGCGTCACTCGCAGCCTGTGCGAGCGGATGCACGATATGGCTCGCATCCGGAGTGTGCTGGGCGGCGGCGGCGGCGACGATGGCGTCCGGCTGCGGGATCGGGCCCGCTGCGGCGCAGGCGAGGCAGGCGATCAGGGCGAGGAGGCGAAGCATTTGTGCTGCCAAGGATGCGTCCGTGAGCCGATCAAACAAGAGCGGGGATAACAAGGCCCCAAGGTAGCTCTCTCGCGGCGTATTTCCGACGATTTCTCTACTTGACAAAACAACAACAAACGTATTGCTAAAAATCTCTCTCACAAAACAAATCTCCTTCTACTGTGAGATGGGTAAAAAGGAACAGGTCCCCGCGCGTCGCGCTTATTTTGGCTGTTCCTCGAGCGCGTCGCGAGGGGGGGAGGCTGTTCGCGGGACGGGTTGTGTGTCTTTTTCCCCCTTTAGCTTTCGCTCTAGAAACGGATTACCAAGATTACTGGATCTAAACACGAACCGACCGGGAGCACAGGGAGGCGCGAGAATGTGCGCAACGGCCGCCGCCGGCGCCCGCGGGCCCGCCGAGCGCCGACGAGGCACACGAGGGCGCTGCCGCGAAGACCTGACGGCCCGCCACCGATGCCGCTGTGCGTGCGCACGAAACATGCGGGGCTCTGCGGTGGCCCGCGCGGCGGCTGCGGCCCTCGGCCTCAGGTCTTTTGCTTCTTCGCGGGCGGCGGCGGCGGCGGCGGCGGCAGCCCGGGGGGCGGCGGCGGCGGCGGTAGCCCGCCGCCTGGCGGCGGCGGCGGCGGCATGCCCCCGGGCGGCGGCGGCGGCATGCCGGGCGGCGGCGGCGGCATGCCCCCGGGCGGCTTGCTCGGCGGGAGGGGCAGCGTGGCGGAGGGCATCTTCGACGCGTCGATGGCCGGCTCCTGCGAGCGCATGCCGGTCTGCAGCGCCATGTTGGCGGTGCGAGCGATGGAGGAGGAGTGGCCGTCCCAGATGACCTTCTTGGCGAGCTCCATCTCCTCCTGCACCGCGTTGGCGCCCACCATCTCTCCGATGGCAACCTCCTTGTCGCCGAAGATGTCGGTCCGCCGCTTCGCAAAGTGCTTGAGCGCGCGGTTGATGTCCTCGTCGCCGGCGACGTTCGAGTCCTTGCGCCTCTCCTCCTCGAGCTGCTTCTGCTCCTTCCACTTCGGGTCGAGCAGCGAGATGCGCATGTGCTCCTCCATCTCGTCGAGCCGCACCTGCTGCCGCGTGATCGGGTCGATCGCGTAGCCCACGCTGCCCGCCGGCTTGACCCCAATCTGCGGCACGTAGTCCTTCCGGATCAGCCGCTCCGGCACGCCGGGCGGAGGCGGAGGAGGCAGCTCCTCCATCTCGGCGTCGCCCTGCTCGTTGGCCGCGGCGGGCTGCCCCTCCGCCGGCTTCGCCGCCGCCGCCGCCTCCTTGAGGTCCTGCGGCGCCGGCAGCGCCTCCTCTTCGTCGTCGTCGAACCCAATCGTCTCGACGACGACAAAGTCCTGCCAGTCGATGAGGAGGTTGGCGCGCCGCTCCGCGTCCACGGCGCTCTCCTGGCTCAGCTTCGCGCGCTCCTTCTCGCGGTGGAAGGCCGCGTGCCGGAACATGCGCGTCAGGGCGCCCGCCGGGTCGGCCGAGTCGGAGGCGAGCCGCTCGCGCAGGCCCTCGGGCGGCGCGAGGCACTTGGAGTAGGCGTCGACGAGGGAGGTGAAGTAGGGGAAGAGGAAGTGCGTCGGCTTGAGAAAGTCGAACTGCGGGTTCTTCGACTCGCGGTTCGCCAGGCCCGTCAGGAAGGGGCGGCCGTTGCGCGCGACAAACTGCGCCGAGAGCTGGATCGTGTCGAGGTCGAGGGGGACGACGCCGACGGGGCGGGGGACGGTGTAGAGCGCCTTTGGCGGCTCGAGCGGCGCCACCTTGAACCCCGACTTGACCGTCGCCTGCGCCGACACCTCCCCCGCGCCCGGCGCCGCGACCGCCGTCTCTGCCGCCGGCGCATCGCCGCGCAGCTCGGAGATCTTGTTGCGGTAGTAGGGGTGGAAGGGGTCGCTGCTGTTGAGGAAGCCGAACTTGGGGTTGCTCTGCTCGTTCTTCAGGATCCGGCTCTCAAACTCGGGCCCGTTGCGCGCGACGAACTGCGCCGTCTTGTCGATGATGCCCTGCAGGTCGGCGGGCGGCTGCAGCACGCCGTCCTTGACGGTCGCGGCGTGGCCGAGCGAGCTCACGCCCGGGACGACGGGGCCGCCGGGCCCCGCCCCCGCCGGCGTGACGGCCGAGGAGCCAGGCACGACCGCCAGCATCGCCAGCGCTTGCAGGGTTCGGGATCTTACGCCGCATGGGAACCCCTACATAGTTCATTCGGTGATTTGAGTGGAGTCTCCTGGTCGCGTCTGGTGTCGAGGGTAGCCCGAATCGCTATAGTCGTGATTTGTTGTTGCTTTTCAAAAATCTCTCTCAATCAGCAGCCTGGAAGAAAAGAGGTCGTGTCTTGTCTCTCAGCCTACAGCCTGGCAGGGGGGGGGGAGGCTGGCGGCTGACTCAAAAACACAGGGATGGGGGCGCGGTGCTCGTCCGGGGAGAGAGAGAGAGAGAGAGAGAGAGAGAGAGAGAGAGAGAGAGAGAGAGAGAGAGAGAGCGGCTGATTGTGACTACGATTTCTCCGATCACCCCGCCCGCCCGCCCCGCCCCGCCCGCCCGCCTCTCCCCGCTTGCCCGCCCGCCCGCCCGCCCGCCCGCCCGCCCGCCCGCCCGCCCGCCCGCCCGCCCGCCCACCCATTCCCATCACCATCTCACATACCTTCATACCTTCATTATGGCGCTCGAGACCTCCTCTCGCTGCGCCTACTCGCTGCCTCGAGGGAGGAGGGGAAGACGTCAGGCAGCTCTCACTCCTGTGATGAGCGCTTGAACCGAGGCCCCTCCTCGAAAGGCAAGTATTAGCCTCACGAAACCGAGACCCCTCCCCCCCACCCCGATCCCCCCACCCCCTTGCTCCCCTCCCCCCCTCGGGAAGGCCGAAGAGAGGCGCCCGTGGGGACCCCGCAATTCCCTTCCCCCCTCGGAGGGCCGGACTGAGGCGTCGAGGGCCCCGCTCTTTCCTTCGCATAGCGGCCACTCTTCGGATCGCTGGTCGAGCGACCCGGGGGATGCCCCGCGCGCCTGACCCAGGCGCGAAAACGAATCTGCGAGGCGTGGCCGCTCATGCGGCCCGATGGAGAGGAGCGGGGCAGACTACGGGGATCGGCTTCTTACAAAGCCCTTCCCTGCAGCGAGCCCCCCTCCAACCCACCCGCGCTAGGTCTCGGGGGACGCAGGGGTGGGTCACACCCGACGACCTCGGGAACTAGCCGGGGCAGTCGGAGAAGGGGCAACTCCGTGCACTGACGGTCGGCCGTCAGAAAACACGCCTCCGTGGCTCGGGTTACACCAATCCTCGCTACCCAACGCGGCCAAAGGATATCCACCTCGGAGAACCGAGAGAGAGAGAGAGAGAGAGAGAGAGAGAGAGAGAGGAGAGAGAGAGAGAGAGAGAGAGAGAGAGAGAGAGAGAGAGAGAGCGAGCGAGAGAGAGCGAGAGATCGCCTTGAGCACGGGACCTGAAAGAATGGGACCCGAGCGGCGCCCGGCGCGGTTAGGTAGGGCGGGAAGCCGCTTTCGGCAGAAAAGAGGAAACTTGACTCACATCCAGGGCCGGGGAGCTAAGAAGCGCACCCAGCGGGCCGGACGGATGATCGGTCGGGATCGGGCTACGGGCTAGAGAGCCCTGACCCCTACCTAGGGGGGGAGGGTGTGCGTTCGCAGGGAGAGGGCCGCAAAGTAAACACGGGTCTCCGAGGGTTAGCTCCGCGCTCCAGGTTTCCCCTAGCAGCAGAACGCCCCCTCTACTCGGAGCTAGTAAACACTCGACCCGAGCGGCGCCCGGCGCGGTAGGGCGGGAATTCGCTTTCGACAAAAAGAGAAAGCGCAGGTTGGACTCCCGCCAAGATCTCTCAACGATGTCGGCGCCGCCCTCCGGCTCTGGCTCCCAGCCGCCGCCAGCGCCGGCCAGCGAGAACTTCAGCCCGGAGCTGCTGCGCATGTACTACGACCGCGTCTTCCCGGCGGCCGCCATGTGCCGGTGGCTCGGCTACGGCACGGCGCAGCTGGCCGACACGGGCGCGCGGCTTCTGCAGCGGCGCGAGTTCTCCTTCACAACGGGCGACGACGTGTACATCCGGTACCTGTCGTACGAGAACGAGGCCGGCCTCAAGAAGGACCTGCTCGCCAAGCTGCCACACAAGATTGACATCGGAGCCATCTTTTCGTGCGTCCCGCCGCCGCCGCCCGCCCGCACGGCCAACACACCGCCGCCGGACGCCGCCGCCGCTGCCACCGCATGACCGTGGCTGGCCGCACGCCTCCCAGCTCCGCACGCCCCCACCCCGCCCGACCACGCCCCTGCCCCCACCCAGCCTCCCCTCCCCTCCTGCAGCGCGCCGCCGTCGGACCACAAGAAGTACAAGCTCTTCGAGCCGAAGCAGCGCGAGCTGATCATCGACATTGACCTGACCGACTACGACTTCCTCGAGGTCGACGTCAAGCGGCTCGAGACGTGCGACCGCTGCTGGCCGCTCATGGCGCTCGCGATGCGTGTGCTGGAGCGCGCGCTGCGAGAGGACTTTGGGCGCGGGCCTCGGCTCTGGCGGGGGAGGGCGGCGGCAGGGCGCGCGGGCTCAGGGCGTCGGCGGTGCCGCTCTAGGTTTGAGCACATCCTCTGCGTCTACTCTGGCCGCCGCGGCATCCACTTGTGGGTGTGCGACGCGCGCGCGCGGCGGATGTCCAACGAGGCGCCGCCTCGCCGACGAGGGTCCGGCGGAGCCCTTCCATGAAGTGTCTCGGATCCTTCCAGGTGCGCGGCGCCGTCGCCGACTACCTCGGCCCCGTCCTCGCGCCGGCTACCGGGCGGCTTGCGATCCGCACTCCGATGCACCCGTCGCTGGCGCGCGCGTACAAGGACGAGCTCGAGCCGTTCTTCCACTCGCACATGCTCACGGGCGAGGCGGCGGGCGGGTTCGGGATTCTCGACACGGCAGAGAGGCGCGCGGCGCGGGCGGAGGGGGGCGAGAAGGGGAGGGGGTGACGGCCCGGCTCACCTAGTGTGTGGTGGCGCGTCTCGCAGGCAGAAGAAGCTGCTCGCGATGCTCGAGAACGAGCAGATCGCGGAGCAGCTGCTCGACGCCTTCGAAAAGCGGCCGGCGATGAGCGGCGCCGAGCGGTGGAAGAGGATCAAAAGCGAGTGCAAGACGCCAAAGCTCGCCGCGGTCCTCACGGAGGTGGTCTTCACGTACACGTACCCCCGCCTCGACGTCAACGTGTCCAAGGGCATGAACCACCTGCTCAAGTCGCCGTGGTGCGTCCACCCGAAGACCGGCCGCGTCTGCGTGCCGGTCAACGTGAGCGAGTGTGAGGAGTTCGACCCGAGCTCTGTCCCGACCCTCAAGACGATCGCGGACGACCTCGACGCGGGAGGCGCCTCGCTCAAGGACGGGAGGGACATCTCGCGCACCCGCCTCGCGCCCTTCGAGGCCGCCTTCGACGCCTTCCTCGCAAAGTGCGAGAACGCGATCCGCGGGGAGCGCGCGCGAGAGAAGGCGGCGGCGCCCCTCGCGAGCTCCGGCGCCGAGCTCTTCTGAAGCCGGCCCCGAGCCGTCCCGCTCTCTCGCCCACAGCGGCTCTTGCACAAGCCATCCCCTCCCCCACCCTCGCCGGGTGAGCGAGGGTGGCCAGGCGCCGGGCGCGGTGCAGCGCTGTAGAGGTGCTACAGTCGGCAGTGCGTCAGCACAAAATAGAGCGCGCATGGCATGCACACAATAATTTATGTACGTCTAACCCACTATCTAGATATGTAAAGTACCACGCCCAAAATAAGAGCACGGACACGCCTCACGCGTGACCAGCGCTCGGCCGCTCGCGTTTTATATCAATATCATCAATATTTGCTATTTCATCATTCATGACGCGCACACTTCACACAGAGACAGGAATGTGTCAATCACTCGGGGCTAGATCGATTTACCCATCTCACTGTAGAGTAGAGTGACACCCAGCGAGGGGCAGACCTCTCGATGATGGGGGGCGAGCATGGCGCGCCAGCCAGGCGAGTTATTCACACGAGCACACCGTCCCAGGATATCAAACGCGCCATTAGCGCGCCAGCACGACTTATACGTCAATTACGCCACCCACGATAACACTATCGATGTTTGTGAGTGTTCCGACGGGCGGCAGGAGGATGTACGAAGAGATTAGGAGCAGCAGGGACCCGAGGGACCATGTGGAAGACGGCTAGGGCTAGTCCCCCATCGTGAGGACGACCCCGGCTACTCGAGTAGCCGCCGACCACACCCACAAAGAACCCTGCACAAAGATCGCACGGGCGGGGACCTGTTCCTTTTTACCCATCTCACAGTAGAGAGGTGTCCGTTAAGCGTTATTATTCTTCTCGCTCGTGCGTCCTTGCAACTTGTGCTGACCTCCCTTTCTCCTCTCCTATGCCACGTGGCTGTGTGTGTTTGGGTTTCTATGTTTGCGATTGGAATTTGGATTTTCTACTGCACTTAATTTATTTATTTATTTACGACCTCGCTACCCCACCCCGACACCCGTGCGTGTCACACTAAGAGGTGTCCGTATTTATTTAATTAGATCGACAATCGACCCCGCTACGGCATGTCATCCGCGATCGCTCATTCCGGCGTTAATCGTCTGCGTCGCCGTCGGTGACGCTGACGGTATTAGACCGTGTTAGCAGCGCCGCATTCAAGCGCGCTGTCTCGAGCGCACCCTCGAAGCGGGAAAAGGTGAAGGCCGTCGCGTACACGGACGGCAGCTCGTACATGTCCGCCTCGCCGTCGATGGCACCCTCCGCCATAGCGCGGGTCGTGATCTGACCCTCCTCTGGGTACTCGTCCAATCTACCCACCCGCTCCTTCGGCGAAGAGAAGGACTGGCCCACGATACCGTGCGGTAAGCACCTCGCCGCCGCGTCGCCCTCCGCTCTAAAGCTGACGTCGAGCCGGTGGGCTGGTCCAGAGAGACGCTGGTACACGTGATTGCCGCGCACCGTGACGGTCCAGTTTCTCAGCGCGAACACGGCGTGCGACGACTGCGTCCGGATGGAGAGCTCCTCACACTGCCTGGCGCTCTTCCTGCCGAGAATAAAGTGTTGGCCGCCGCACGTCCCGTTCACAATCTTCCAGCCCCAGTTCTGACCGTTCAGCTCGGAAGCCCAGAAGGAGGCCATGGCCCACTTGCGCTTGGCGCCGCCGACGCGAGCGACTACGTGCACCTCGGTGAGGAAGGAGCCATTCACCTTGAGCTTGCCACCGTTTAGCAGAAAGCTGGAGTCCTCCGTTTTCACGTTGACCGCAAGGTTGGGCGCCGAGAGGAAGGCGTAAATGATGCCATCGTGGCCACGGAAGTCGGCAGACCCGCCATGTGCGAAGTGGAGGTGCGGGTCCTGGTGTCCACCGCCGTCGAGCCCTCCAGAGGATGTCCGTGTCATGCTCATGGGCGGTTTGGGGCTAGGTGGCGGCGGGGACGAAACTGCTGGAGGAGGGCGCGATCGCTGGACGGCTAGGTGCGCGAAGAGGGGGTCGATGGATTCACCCGCCGCTATCTCCCGCGGGCGTGCTGGGCTGGGCGGCGGCGGCCAGAGCTCCTTGGTCTCATAGACGATATTAATCTCCTCGAGATTGATGATTCGGAACTCGTTCTCATCGTCTGAGAGGAGAGTAATGGTGACATACTCCCCTCTTGTCGTCTCGCACTGGCCAGGGTAGACCCCCTCCTGCAGCACGCCCCCCAAGACGACGTTCGCCCGCCTGCACTCGTCATACTCGCGGCAGTTGTCGAAGCAGAGGAAGGCGTCGGGCGGCATGGCCCCCCTGCTGAGCCGGTCCGAGTATGACTCGTTGGAGACGAACACCTTGAGCCCGCCCGCCAGCCGGAAGTAACCGGGGCCCGCTGCGTGGTTGAAAAAGAAGATGCTCGTGATTTTCTTCCCCGGCGTGACTTTGAGTTGGATCCACGGGTTCCTCGAGCCGCATGGCTGGAAGCCTCGCATATCTGGCAAGCCCACGTTGCACACAGTGTCGGGGGTGTCAGGCCCATATGGCGCAGGACCAAGAATGTCGGTCTGGCACAGTTGGTCAGAACGGATTGTGATGGCGCTGGCCCCAGATCCCATGGTCCGCTCGCCGTCGATGCAGTTCGAGGCTGCGCGGTTCTTGTAGGTGCTGCTCATGACGGCAGAGATGATGTCCTCCCGGCCGAGGACAGCAGTACTGTCCACGGCGAAAAGGGAGAGGAGGAGGAGGAGGCTCTTCATGGGCCACCCCTGGCGCGAAAAGCTCCTATTCGATGCGTCGATCCCCCGAAGCACCGGAGGCCACCGCGACGGCGCGTTTCGTTCCAAACTTGGCCCGGGGAGGCTGTGTGGCAGGCTGTCGCTCGCCTGTCATCGCTTCGGAACCGCCCTTTCTTCCTTTTGTGCTCGCCCTGATGAAATATCACGTCGGATTCACTCGACGCTATGACGGCGGCGGCACGCACACGAGCTGCGGGCAGCGCTGCGTGCGGCCGTCCGTGCCGCCGGCCGTCATACACAGCGGCGAGGCGCGGGACCGTCTGTGACGAAGTGGGTCGCGTCCCTCGATTTCCTCAACTCACGGCCCACACCCTCTACAACTTACAGGACACGAGATCGGCAAAAATCTTTACTAGAGGCCGGCGCGCATGGCCGGACGCGGGACCATCATCACATCATGGTGTGGAGGGGGGGCTAGACCCCGAAAAGAAGGGGCTCCAGAGCACTGTATGTGTCGACAGTGCGTCTGTGCGTGTGATCCGACCAAACGGCACATAAAAACCGCGCGCCCCCCGCGAGTGTTTAGCTATAGCTCTGGGGGGGCGCGGGGGCCCTAGCGGGTATCCATGCGGGGGGGAGACGGGGTCCGATGGCCCGCCGCAGGCGCCGATTTTTGGTTTTTTTGAGCGATTTTTTTACTTGTTTATTTGGCGAACTTGCGGCCATGCCATCAATGCTATCACGCCTTGCGACAGCCTGTCGGCGCTGCTGACCGTGCCATGCTGCACAATTGATCACATGCATAGCTCGCGGCCTTAGTATCAAGCATTCAGTGACGACCTGATCGTACGGCCAGTAGGAAGGTGTCCTTCCAACGTGTGCACGCTTCTGACGCAATGCGCGTCGCCTCGGATTGGCTGCTGGCACTCTCGAGGCTATGCCTACGCAGCCTCGCGCGCATGGGCAGTCAAGAGGGACCACGCACCTTCTCAGGACAGCGCCGGTGCCTCTCTCTGGACCGGCAAACTTGGTGGTCTCGTGTCACCAATGTGGGACCAGTGCGGCATCGCGCCATCGACAGCTCTGAACTGCGCCTCACCACTGACCGGGAAGGCCGCCAAGGGGCCAGCACAGGTCGCACATTGTGGCAGCAGTCAGCTGTGCATGTCTGATAGCTAGAGCAGCAGCGTCAGGGTCGCAGGGTCGGATCGTGTCAAGCCTCTCGCCCGGCCGGCCGCGTGCAGACGTCGGCCTGTCTGCTGTCTGGAGTGATCTGTCGGCGGTCAGTACGACCGATCAGGTTGGAGGTTTCTGATGGTTGGAGTTCTATCTGTATGTACTCCTCGAGATCTCTCCAAATCTGCCCTCTACTCAACCGTACTCATTCGGGAAGTCGGTGCTAGTGGAGACTAGTGGAGCCGGAGCCCCGTTTCCGCACTGCTGCTGCGCGGCGCACGGTGTGGGCCGGGGGCCCCCGCGCCACCCCAGAGGTGTTCCCGGGCATTCACACTATATTTCGGAGATAATTGGGCGATTATATCCATAAGGGATTTCATCCCTTTTTGGTTTGGAGATTCGTGTTTCGGTTTCGGTTTTGGGTAAACGTATACAGCACTCTTCAACTTCGTCGCGATGTGGCCCCTGTCTTTGCTCCTGCTCCTATGCGAGAGCTATGGCGGGACCGCTATCGATCAGGTCGGAGTTTTCTGATGGTTGGAGGGGGTCTATCTGTGTGTACTCCTTGAGATCTTTCCAAATCTGCCCTCTCTACTTATAATCGTACTTAATCGGGAAGTTGGTGCTCTGAGCGACTCTGAGCGCCGGAGCCCCGTTTTTGTTCTTTTTCCGGTAAGCGGTATTTCCGCACTGCTGCGCGGCGCACGGTGCCTCCGGGGGCCCCCGCGCCCCCCCAGAGAGCTATAGGCCAGCTTTTCGCCGCTTCGGGCTTCGGCGCGCCGCGCGCGCGCGTCTCCGCGCCACTTCGCGCGCGGGGGGCGAGGCATCGCGCGGGAGGTACAACACCGACTGTTAATAACAGTGTTAAGAAAACGCCTCACCCGTGTACACTCTAGATGCTCATGGATAGCAGAGACAGCCCAGCGCCTCGGGTTGGGACGGCGCGCCGGCGCGCTGGAGCCACACATGAAAGGAGTACCGCGGCTGTTCGTCGGCGGACCGAGCCTCTGCCTCCACCACGAGCGTGTCGCCGACGGCGACCTCGGCGGGCTGGGGCAGCGGCAGCAGCACGGTGGGCCAGTGCGAGCCCTCGTCTGCCGAGCTCACGCGCGGGGCGGCGCCCTCTGCTAGTGGAGGGAATGCGACCTCGATGTGTAGCGCCAGTCCTCGCAACGAGTCGGCCCTGGCCAGCCCGAAGGAGATCCGGGAGTGCTGCGGCTCCGCGAGCCGGCCAGCGGTGGCGGACCCGAAGTCGAGCTGCTCGAACGGCTGCGCTGGCGCCAGGGTCGCCTCGCGCGGGAAGCGAGGCAGCTTGAGCGCGGCCCCGGGGGGAGGGGAGAGGACCGGGTTCGGCAGCGAGGCCCAGTACTCGCCAGAGGGCCAGCTGCAGGGCGCACACAGCGATCTGGCCGAGGCCGGGACGGCCACAGCGCCGGGCGCCAGCAGCCGCGCGTGCGCGTCCGCCACACATCGTGCGGCGCCCTCGCAGCCAGCGACCTCGCCGAGGATCTCGTGGACGAGCAGGCTCGGCGGCTCAGGCAGGGCGGGCTGCTCCGTCGAGTAGCCCTCGAGCACCTCGATGACCTGCTGCAGGCCCAGCTCCGCCACCGTCCGCCTCGCCGCCTCGCACGCCTCTGCATTCGACTCGAGCGCGTAAACGCGCGAGGCTCCCGCTCGGGCGGCCATCACCGCGAGAAGCGCGAGGCCGCCTGTGCCGAGGTCGAGCACGACTCGGCCGGCAGCGAGATGGCGGAGCGCGTCCTCGTACGCGGAGGTGCGCTGTGCATCGTCCCTCATCTCCGCGTATAGCCGCTCCGTGTAGCGCTCGCACAGACCGCGCGGTGTGGCGGTCATGAGACGACGAGCCGCACGCACAGTCGGCCGTATGAGCAGTGTACCTGTGGCGTCGATGGTCACGAACTGGCGCAACGACCCGCTGCGCTCGATCTGGGTTCCGGCTCTTAGGACAGATCGGGGGCCCTCGCCGGCTGGCCCCTCTGCGGCGGCCGCCGAGACGGAGATGTGCTTCGAGAGCTCGCCGATCAGGTAGAGCCGGTCGACGGCCGCTTCGTCGATGACGCCCATCGAGTTGAGCACGAAGTAGCTCGAGAGCAGCAGCGAGAGCGCAAAGACCTGCGCGTCGTACGCCTCGTCCTGCTCCATCGACGCGAGGCCCTCTGTATCGAGCAGCACGAGAGAGCCGCGCCTGCACTGGCCTGCGTCGCCGTCGGGCACGCACACGTCGATGCCGCGCGTGCACGACTCGGTCGTCGAGCCGACGCGGAAGCCCGCCTTCGCGCGCGCCGCCGTGTTGCCGGCCAGGGTGTTCAGGAAGAAGCTCTTTCCGGTCCGGTAGAGCCCGGCGACAGCGACGACAACAATTGGGGCCTCGATCCGCTGCAGCAGCTGCGCGCCCTCCGGCTGGATCTCCCACTTGCCCGCCTCGCCGAGTCGGACGAAGGGCGCGGCGCTCGCGCTACCGCCGCTCATGTTTAGGCTGGATCGCAGGCTCGGGGGGCGCCGCGGGCGCGGTTTCCCTTCGACCCTTCTTGACCCTTCTTTTTGACTGCCTCTTCGGAAGATAATACGAGTCGTATAAGGGGCTAGCAGCCATTGTGCTCAGAGGCGGCGCCGCCTCGCAAGCGGAGCGCGAGGTGGAGCACGCGCTGGTACACACTCTGCGCCACCGACTGCGCCACCGACCCTGCGCCCGCGCTGCCCGCGCGTCCCCTCGATGGCCGCCTCGAGGCCGCGCTCGCCACCGTCTCCGCCGCCTCCGCCGCCCGCGCCGCCTGCCTGGTGCTCGTGGCCCCGCACTTGCCCTAGCCCGAGAGGGGAGCTTCCGAGACCCACTACATGACCACGCACACATCATCCCGCGGCCTGGTGGTCGGCGGGATTTGTTGGGAGTGTGAATACCCCACTCGTGTATATAGAGAGATGTCCCTGTTGAGTGCGTCTCCCAGTGCACGAGCACTTCCAACCGCGCCCGCTCGAACACTCCCTGCGCGGCTCGCGGCACCAGCGACGTGCCAGCGCCGAGCGCGTTCAGCGATCTGCCAGCGTACTCCTTCGCACGTTGCCCGCGGCGCGCCGCCTCGCGCCCCTCACTGTCCGCGTCACGCAGCTGCTCCTTCTCGCCATCGCAGTTCCAGCGCCTCGTCGCCCGTGCATCGTTCCGCGTCTCGCGCCGGCAGTAGATGCACTGCCAGTGAGTGAGGCGCCGATCCATCCGCCTCGTCTTGTTTGCTCGCGTCGGCCCGACGTCGCCTCTGCGCTCATCTTGTGTGATCGCGCCTTCGCCGGCCTCCCGAACGATGCATGCAGGCAACGGTTGTGTCCCGCCACCGAACTCCCTGCCGATCCCGTGGAGCTGCCCCATCGGCTGCAACGGCCCGGTGTACATCACCACGTCGCCGACCGGCGCGGACAGCGGCTGCAGTATTGCCACCGGCGTGATCGTTCCTCGCGAAGTCGTCGACAGCCGAGGTCTCGCGAGCCACTCGTCGGTTCCCTGCGGGAGCCGCTCCTCGATTCGTTGCGTCTCCGCTCGGTCGTCCATCGCCGCCAGCCACCCTCGGGTCGCGTTCGGTCGCCAGCTCTCCAGCTCGTCGTTTGGTCACCGAGGAGAGGGAACGAAAGCACACCTCAAACTGCAGGACGTGCATCCTGGACGCATCCCTCCTTGTCCCACTTATCGAATTTGTGCAGGCGAGAGTACCCGTCCGAATTCCGGCGTTTTTCATAATTCTCACCCTACTATACTACAAGTACCCCATATTTTCGTCTTTTTTCGCTTCGCTGCGCGTCCTGGGGATAGGTAGGTAGGTAGGGCGTTTTGGCGCGAGTCATGGTCAACAGACCCCCTATCTGGCAAGGAGCCGGAACCCTGCCGCGCCGCGAAAAAAGAAATTACGCGGGCGCGCGCACGCACTGGCACCAACTCTAACACAGGTACACCAAAAAATTTTAGTCACGCACTATTGTAGGCACGGGCCGCGCGCGCGCAGTGGCACTAAAAAAATTGAGATAGAACGAACGACTCACAGCCTCGCCCTCCTCAGCCACCGCTGCAGCGCGGGTCCCGCCTGGCCTCCGACCAGCGTGCTGAGCGCCTTGAGCGCACGCGCCCCACTAGCGTCGCTCACGTCGCACTTGATGGTGCGCATGCCGAGTGCTTGGGCCGGCTTCAGATTCCTCCCGATGTCGTCCACAAAGATGCAGGCCGATGCGGGCACGCCCAGCCGCGAGATGGCCAGCTCGTAGATGGCCGGGTCGGGCTTGCGCAGCCCCTCCTCCGCCGACTGCACGATCTCGTCGAAGAGCGGCTGCAGCTCCCGAATGGACGAGGCGAGGCGGTCGTCGCCCGTGGCGCTCCGGAAGTTATTTGTCAGCGCGCAGGTCCGTACCCTGCTTTCGCGGAGGATGCCCAGCGCCTCCGTCATGAGCGGCCGCGGCGTGCAGCTATCCAGGATGACCCGGATAAGCTCCCCGCCGTCAATGATGGACGGTGCACCCGCCACTTTACAGTCCGCCGCAAAGGCGTCACTGAACGACTCGATCGTCAACTCGCCGCGCTCGAGCCGCGCAAAAGCGCCACCGCTGCCAGATGCTCCGATGACCGCGTTGACAGTGTTCTGCCCGACACCGAGTCGCGTCTCGTACTCGGCTATCGCGGCAAAGGGCGAGTGGAGAATCACGCCGCCGAGGTCAAAGATGACAGCCTCAGTTGGAGCGTCGATAACCTGTGACATCGCAGTTTTTGTCTCACGCACGACTCGACACAACGCCTCCTCCTTCTAGGGGGGCTTACACTGGCCGCGGTTACTCGCGTGTTTCACAGCCTTGTTATTAAAATACCTCTTATGGCGCTGTTCACAGCCTTGTTATTGAGAAGAAATACGCCGAGCGCGCTGTGCGCTGTCTATGAGAGGTTGAGGTGCGAGCCCTGGATTCACACATAGGTTGATAAGAAACAAGAAGGTGACATCCCAGACGTCTGAACCACAGCGTGTCCCATATCTCGTGTGTTTTCGGGTGATTAGATCATGTACGTGGACGGGGTGGAGGAGGCAAGCTCGCAGGACACCCTGTCTGGGCAGCCCGACTCGCAAGGCAGCTTCTCGAGCATGGACCTGGACGAGGAGGGCGAGGCGGAGAGCGGCCCTGCGCCTGACGAGGCGGGCGAGACGAAGGAGGGCGACGGACAAAGTCGCGGCGCAGGGGGTCCGGGAAGCGGCGGGGCTGGAGGGGGCGGCCCCTCCCCGAATCTCGCCCTCGGGCGAGTGAGAGTCGTCGGCCAGGGAAGCAGGACTCCCGCAGGGCACCTTCGGGTGGATCTCAGCAGAGCCGGCAGGCACCCCGAGCTCGCGACGCCCTTCACGACTGGAAGGGCCAGGGAGCGCACGTGCTTTGATCGCCGGGGGCACCATGGAGGGTGCGCCTGCGCCACGGAGGCACTCCGGGCGGCGTATGCGATGTGGGGGGGGGGCCGGGGAGATGCTGCCTCGGCGCGCGCTGCCGCGACGCGGCACGGAGTCGACCGGGCCACGCCGGCGAGGGAGATGCGCTCCAGCGAGGGTCGCGTCCTTGAAACCGCCGACGCGTTCCTGGACGACAAGGCCGATCGACTCTGGAGGACGCGGTCAGCGGCGCTTCGCGAACTGGCACAGAAGGTTCGAGAGCAGACGGCACGGATCTGGTGCTCCTATGCGCGGGTAGGATTGAGTCCTGTCACGGCGATCTGCTGAGGAAGGGGATCCTAGCCGACGCGGCGCAGCTCGAGGCCACCAGCAAGAAGAAGCCGCGCTCCGACAAGGGCAAGCCGAGGGGTCCTCGGGGGCCCAGGGCCGACTCGGTGGAGACGGCGGCCCGCATGGGGGTGCGGGGGTGCTGTCGACCTTCTACCTCCGGCACGCCTATGGACGGGACAGCCCGGGGCTGCATGAGGAGGACGGGGTGCTCTCCGCGAATGGGGGGGTTCTGTGTGCGGGGTGTGGAGAGGAGAATGTACCTACCTAAGATAAGCTTGAAATGATAGTCTAAGCATAAGCTAAAAGACTCATCATCATCTTGAATAATCTTACAGACATTCGCTATCCATCTTTAGATCTTATCCTATCAACCTTATCTCTAACAATATCTGCGCTTAATAAACACGGACAGCTGGAGGAACAGGCTTACAGTCGTTTTCATCCCTAGTGGTCCTGATGACATCTCTGTAGTCCAACTTAACTTCTTCTCCAGAAGCGGTCTGGTAAGACAAGGTGTGCACTCTCCAGTTCTCATCGTCTCTGCTAGGGTAATCGTGCTCTGGTTTGCCCCCTTCTGGATTCCTTTCTGGCAGAAGCAGACTTGCCTGTTTGAGTAGCACCACTCAACCAGTTCTGCAATTCCAACGTTTCTACCAAATCGGAGTTC